TTCGTTTTCACAATCATATCTTGGAAACGGCGAAAAATTGTTATTACAGGCTTAAAGTATTGTATCAGATTAGAATTTTTTTGGATGTGGACTTAAGAATTATGCTTTGTGAAAGTTTAATACTATCAAAACTTAACTATGCTGACACAGTAATAGGCGAATGCATGTTTGGTTACACTAAAAAAATTATCCAACGCATCCAAAATTCATGTGCACGCTATTGTTTTACCGTTCCACGTAGAGCACATATTACACCTTTTCTCAATGGAAGTAATCTCATAAATATGCAGTCTAGACGATCACTTCATTATGCTTGTCTTCTATTTGGTATAATAAGAAGCACAAAACCTTAATATCTGTACGAAAAATTAAAATTTTCCAAGCGTATTCGAACTGCTTCTCTTCTAAGTTGTCCGAGTCATAACACAGCTGCATTTCGTGGGAGTTTTCGCTACTCCTCTACGAGGTGCTGGAACAATATCCCTCCACCCTTTAAAGATTGTGCCACGATACGTACTTTTAAATATAAATATAAGGATTATTTACTTAAAATGCAAAAGGACGCTTATTAAAACCTGTATGTATTCATTTTTATTGTTTGATATGTATTTATCATTCATGTGTAATATACTTATATGGTATTTGTGTAGATATATGCATGTATTTGTCCCTGTGCTTCTATTTTATATTGTGTTGCGTTCCATTTCATTATAAATTATTATTGCCCATTATATATTATCCACAGTTGTACACTCTTAAATAAATTTAATTTTTGCGCGTAGCGGTACCTTTATTTAATATTAGTAGGTATCTACGGAAGACCAGCGTCGAAGCATCGTTAGATGCTCCGACATTATGCTGAGTAGATACCTTTTCAGCACCATGTATATTACTTGTGTATGTATTATGTATGTTATCAAAATGGTCATGGTACTGAATAAATATTTTTTCTTTCTTCTTTCTTTCTTTCTTTCTAAAAACTGTAAAACACTATACCCTGTCTGCGCATCGCGTGTCGCGCTTCGCGCTCTTGTATTGCACAGTCGGGTAAAAACAAACACGGACGCTACACTGGGCGCCGGAAAGATAACTGTTTTCAACAAACTTCATTCAGCCGTCCGATTTTGACGGTTGCCCTAAATGTCAAGTCTCTTTTAATCCAAATTAAACTAAACCTTAGGATTACACTGCCATCTTTTTTATCGCAAGAACTTCAGAAAATGTGCACGTGTTTATAACCGATTTCAAAAAGGTTCTCAACTCGTCAAAAAAATATAAAAACCAACTTCATAAATACAAAGCCACTATAAAGTAAGAAACAATATATATTCTTTACTTATATAAGTACACTAACCCTAAAAGATAATATACACCTCGAGGCAGAAGAGTCCAGAAAATATATCTAGCACTACTTTTAATTTAATATCATTATATATCATATTTAACATCATATGTTCAAATTAAAAGTTGTGCTAGATATATTTACTGGACTGTTCGTTCACTTACTTCCGTCGCTGCTGAAATACGTTTGGTGATATTACACCAATGAAATATATCACATTTTTTTTTCTAAATGATAAACATTTGCAAAAATTTGACGACCCTAAAATAAATAATACAATATTAAAATCACGTTCAACATGATAATATTAAAGTAACTGAAAACATAAATTATACATATAAAACATTAATTTGCCTTACCTCTCTGCGAATAACTTTTCTACGCATACTCGTACTTTCTATGCTGTCGGTATTTGATGAATATTTTTTGGCGCGCACCGTATATCGCTAATGACTGCTACTGACTCAGCCGGCGACTCGGCCGCTACCACAGAATATATACACTACGCGAAAAGAAGCGACACTTAAGCATGTGTGCTCGTAAAATCGCCCGCGGCTATGTGTGGGTGTATGGAGGTGCGCGGGGGCGTTGCGCGGCGCGCGGGTCGTGGAGAGGGCAGTCGCCGACTGCCTCGACATGGCAGTAGCGAAATAGTAAAATAATAGCGTTGCACTGCATTGCACGCACAGATTGACTACGCTACGCAATCTTATTATTATTTAGATAATAATAAGAATTATAAAACGAATCGAAAAAGGAGAAAATATATAAAAGTTAGCAATTTGTAATAGTACCTACATTAAATGATTAAAAATTGATTATAAAATCAAACCTATCCTTCATTATTTACCCCAGTATCCTTGAATCAGTTTACATTTAATAACTTACTATGCATAAATATTCATTGGCACAAGTCTAAATTCCAAGTTCAACCCTAGCGCATACACGCTCCTGCTCAAGGTCACTGACGCTGGAACTCTCACGTACAGAGAGTGTCACCGCTGTGCCGATACTGAGCACTCCCGAGCATACGCACACAAGACAATGTGCATGTACATTTACAAACTTTAGTATGGCTAAGCTGCATTGTTGAGATAAAGTAACTTTTGTACGAGTTTTACAATTACAAAAACTATGATAGTTTTCGTGAACTCGCACTCGTACTAAGGGTACCAATTTTATTGTGAGTTACCTACAATGCGAAGAGATGGCGCTGCCTTATAGCTTAAGAATAGCTAGAAGAATTTCGACGCGGCCATCAGGGCCGCGGTAGCGAAGGGTGCTGGTTCGAGTCCCGTCTGCTGCCTGGTCCGCGTGGAATTTTTTCTAGTTATATTTTATTTAGATTTATTGTTTTCGTTTCAATACAAAGCAGTGTTTAAATTCTATCATTAAATCATTTGCGTCTTCTTAAATTTTAAGTATATTTGGTTAATTTTCACCAAAATGGACGTAGAAACAATAATTTACAATTACGAAAACTATCATAGTTTTCGTGAGCTCGAACTCGTACTAAGGGTATTACCGCGTAAAGCCGTAAAAACGGCCTTCCCGTGATGCTGAGCACCGATCACTAGGTTGACAAAATTGGACATATACGTGTTAGAAAGATACAGCGTTTTAATTTCGACGCAGGCGCCTCGAGGTGTATATTATCTTTTAGGGTTAATGTACTTATATAAGTAAAGAATATATATTGTTTCTTACTTTATAGTGGCTTTGTATTTATGAAGTTGGTTTTTATATTTTTTTGACGAGTTGAGAACCTTTTTGAAATCGGTTATAAACACGTGCACATTTTCTGAAGTTCTTGCGATAAAAAGATGGCAGTGTAATTCTAAGGTTTAGTTTAATTTGGATTAAAAGAGACTTGACATTTAGGGCAACCGTCAAAATCGGACGGCTGAATGAAGTTTGTTGAAAACAGTTATCTTTCCGGCGCCCAATGTAGCGTTCGTGTTTGTTTTTACCCGACTGTGCAATACAAGAGCGCGAAGCGCGACGCGCGACGCGCAGACAGGGTATAGTGTTTAACAGTTTATATATGTGTGTTCCTTTGTGGCACACTAGAGACCAAACGCCTTCACCGATTTTGATGATTAATACGTCTTCATCGTGGGAGTGCTACTAAAGATATGATAGTAATCAAAATTCAATATGGGGACAATTAGGCGCCATATTGTGACAAAGTGTGTGAAAAAAAAATAAGTTGAAGAAATATGTCGAGTGGAGTATCATTGTCTAGGTAATTGAAAATTATGTTTAGGTTTTTTACACTGTTTCATTTTATGTGACTGTTTAGGATCTACAACGATTTAAAATTGTATAATAACCACTGGCGCTTTTAATTTCTATCTCATTTTTGTATAGCTATTTATTACTTCTTCACCCAAAAATAACGAATGGATTGTGTGTGAAACTTAACGAATGTGAAACGAATGTGAAACTTAACAACATAATATAGTTCACACATAATAATTTATGTAGTTATTGAGTGAATTGGCCAAAATATATCAATAAGTGTCACGTAAGACGGAAAAAATCTCCCATCTGCGAGCCCTTTTGTAGTCGAGTCAATTAAGACATAAAAGAGGCAAAACTTGGAAACCCGGTGGAACAGCTCCGATTTTGATATTTTTTTTTTTAAAATGTTTTTTTTTGTATTATTCAAAATCAGAAACCTTTTGGAGCGGGGAAATAAAGTTTTTTATTGTTTAAACAATATTTATAACATTTTTATAAAAAAATCAGTTTTATCGCTTTTTTTTGGAATAAAATATTTTTATGTTAATGTTAGTATAAAAAATAGTTGTTAAAATGAGGCTTTTAATAATAATTTAATATTTCAACCATTTAAAATACGATATATTGGTCAATGATACGAATGCGTTGAGCACTTACGTTATATTTTAGAGTGAGATAAAACAACTCTACATATTTATGCAGCTATGACCAGGTGGTGCGCTCCAAAGTTGCATGGTTATCTTTTGTGTGACTTTTAGTAGAAGTAAGAATTTGTTTATATGGACATAAAATGTATATTTCTTTTGTTTTACCATTCAATGTTTTTAGTTTCATCACGATGAGTCGAAGAATAATATTATTTGATGATGAAATATTTAGTGGTTAGAGGAACTTACCTGAAAGTGAAATTCAACCACAATTGTACGAAGTTCAATGTCCGATGACATTGAATACCCTTATTAACCGGGATTATTGAAGCTGATGTTACATTATGGGTGGGTACCCATAATATAACATCAGCTTTAATAATCCCTTTAACATAAAATCTCCGCGCCCCGTCTGCGTTTTACGTCTTTCCAGTGTGTCCCGCGCCATAGGTTGGCACCCTTTCATAACTCTTTTATCTTTCGTTATTTCTATCGTTATTCCAGAGACAATAATCTCCCCATCTCTATCCCGTCTGCTGGCTGGTCTGCTTGAACTTTTTCTAGTAAAATTTTCTCTAAATCTCCCGCCATAGATTTGCGAGCCGATACAAATGCTTGTATCAGCCAAGACTGAATAAATGATTATTATTTTGATTTTAGATTGAAATATCTGACAGTTAAATGTTTAAAAAACAAAAATATAATTGCAATAATCAATTAAAAATATAAATTAAACAGAAATTCATAATAAAATAATAATCATATACCAAAGCTTCTGCTAGATTCACTTCGAGAATCAAGTCCAGATTCCAAGGAAACTGCATCTACTTCAGACTCCTCTGTAAAATAAAACGAAATGTGAAAGTTGAAGTCATCAAATTAAACTTTAGATTAACATAAAACTATGTAGTTAAAAAGCAGTGACATATTTCATTACACGCAAAAAACGCTTCGGAAAATAAAGTATCAATTTAAAATTCGTGAATAAAGTCGCATGCAAATTTCTCCTAAAAGTGGAGAGCTGGCATTTAACGATAAAAAGTATGTAAAGTTGAGCACAGGAGCACTCGTACTAAAAGTTTTAAAAAAAGGTGTAGCTTTCGTCATGAAGAACCATTTTTGAGAAAAAGAAGATCGTAGGTTAGGCAATTAATTTTTATTTAATGTGGTACTGTGGTACTATCTTAACATTTATTTATTTATCCATAGCACAGTTTCAAAACACTTTAGTTATTCTCTGAAAAAAAAATTTAACAAAACAAAATTTGAAGTTTAACAACTAATTTCTTACCTTATCAAGAACAATGAAGAAATGAATATAATTTAATACGAATTACCAATATACAAAGTTTAATTTTGAATTGAATACTTAATTTGTAAATCATTGTTCATATCAACTTGAGCATCAAACTCGACATTTTTAGGAACACTTATCAATCACTTTAATTGTAGTTTTATTTTAACTCCCTTCTAAAATGAATCCCTAAGCTAAATCTCCGAACGTCCTCAAAATACTCCCTTCAATATCTAACCATTAATCCTTCCTTCAATTTCGTAATAATTTATTAATTAAACCAGCAGTTCTTAGTACCTGTTCCAATTTTAATTCCAGCTGAGCTTTAGGAGTAATAAATACCCAATAAGTGTTCGGCTAATATTTTAATAGTTCTTTTATATTAATTAAGGAACATAATCCACAAGAACAGCAATAACCAGCCTGTCAGCTTATATCGTAAGAACAAAGTCCAAGCCTCTTTGTGAGATTAAGAGCGAAGCTTTGGCGATTAATCCGCCTTTATTAGTTCGAACTTACCTGAGGAACTGTCATTTGTTACGTTCATAGTTATGGGCATTATATAATCCTTCGATATTTGTAAGGCTTTGTTGAGGGGCTCCTGTATTTTGGGATAGTATTTAATGAGGTTGAAGAAGGTTTGGCTAGATATCACCAGCAAATCTAAGCTTCGACTCGAATATATGGCTACACTGGAGCACGCAATAGGTTGCTGTAAAAAAATTAAAAATGAGGTAGGGTAAAGATATTATTCCCAAAGAAGAACGACCATCTATGGTAGCATCCTGCATCTTACAGAAAACCTTTGATATATTTTTTGTATATCTGCCAATTCTTTTACACGGTTTAAAAAATATTTTATGTGTGAATGGCAAGAAGGGTATCTTATCTATACATAGTAGCTGTCTTCGCGACTGGAATCCAATTACATTTTCTCAAACATTTACACTTTCGTCCAGCGCCTTTTGCTGGCCGCTGCTGTAATGTACTATTAACATCACATGGGATGGGCATAAAAAATTGCGCCTCGTTTAGAAAAAAAAACATGACGTTAATTAACGATGGCGGTTCATCAAACGATTTGTTCCATTTGTTGAGTTTCGAAATGAAAATTCTACACTTGAAAAATCTCATCTCAGTTAAAATTTAAACACACATGATATATTTTAAGAGTATGAAAAATGAAAATATTTTCAGCTTTTCTCGCTCAAGAAACGAGGATCTCGCTGACACGACGCAAATTCATTCCATTTGAAGTTAAAAGAGCGATTCTATTATACAGTCATGCCACTGGATGCAATTGCAACTAGGAATAAAATTCTTTTTAGTTTGCGATAAAAATTTTGACAATATCATATTGTATTTATCCGATGAAGTCTCGACTGGCTAGCTAGCGTTATTGCACTTGTTGTAGCGTTAACTATGCATATTCTCAATGTTAATGATTTTTTTTAATTAAGGGAAGTTCGATGGCGCATTTGGTTATCGCGTTCACCCTGCGATCGTGGATGTTAAGCAACTTTCGCAATGGTCGGTCATTGGATGGGTGACCATAACCTTGTACGGGTTTAGCCGCACATTAAACTCATATTAAGTAGGTTAACGCGTCAGCAATATGACCCGCTGCGCGACTTATTACTTTATAATTTATTAATTTCATTGTTTCGCAATAATAACATATTGAATCTATAATTAGTGTCTATCCGGTAGCCTTACCAACCGCGCGTACTCACTCTTACCTTTTCACCATACGTAAACCATTCTTTCACCATACTTTAACTTTAGTTTTCCTGTTTATGGACTTTGTTATAGTAGTGTAAATTATCTCAATAAACTCTCAGTAATTGTTTCCAGTGACTTTCTATTTACCAATCTCTTCTCTAAAGGTGTATAATCCGTACATCTATATGCATGTACGGGTTTAGCCGCACATTAAACTCATATTAAGTAGGTTAACGCGTCAGCAATATGACCCGCTGCGCGACTTATTACTTTATAATTTATTAATTTCATTGTTTCGCAATAATAACATATTGAATCTATAATTAGTGTCTATCCGGTAGCCTTACCAACCGCGCGTACTCACTCTTACCTTTTCACCATACGTAAACCATTCTTTCACCATACTTTAACTTTAGTTTTCCTGTTTATGGACTTTGTTATAGTAGTGTAAATTATCTCAATAAACTCTCAGTAATTGTTTCCAGTGACTTTCTATTTACCAATCTCTTCTCTAAAGGTGTATAATCCGTACATCTATATGGTCCTTCGATTCGTAGAAGGAACCTTTCGCGAGTGAATAATTAATTGTGATCTGAGTTGACAGTGTAGTTTGCACGGAGTTGCAATTATTGTTCGACGAGTGGTTCCTAAGTTATACCAGTGCTAAGTTCTGGCCGTACCAAGGCTGGGATACCAGGATTACAACCATTGCTGAATCTGATCAAGGTTCAGATTATCGAGACATCTTCTATAACCAAGTAAGATCTTTCCTTTTTTTTAACCACTCACCATTACCATGGAGGCTTTACTGGAAACGCAAAGCCAAATTATGGCGGGTATGGATCAACTTCTGTCAAACTTCAAGAAGGACGGCCGTGACCGCAAGACACCAGATTATATAAGGAGGAAGCTGGAGATGTTGGAAAATTACTGGAGAGAATTTCAATCCAACCACGATTTACTGTGTGAATTTGAAAACCAAAACAACGCTTATTTTACAGGTAAGGAATATGAAAGAACCAACGATTTTTATATACAAACTAGGCAACTCATACAAAGTTACATGCCGGAAGACAGTAGACCATCAACATCAGTTTTGAAACCAGCAACACCATTCAAAGCGCCTTCGCACCCACGAAAACCAGAAGAAAAGAACATCAAACTCGATGAGCTGTTCCGTAAGCAGGCTAGCAACTTTAAAGCCTTTTCACGTACAGTCGCCATCATAAACATTGATGCTCTAGAAAATAAGTGGGAGTTCGACGATGCCCACAGAAATTTGCAGTCAAGGTGGGGAGTTATCGATACAATGCACTGGGAGATAGATAGTGAACAGAGAGACGACAGCTCTACTTACGATGCATACGAGGCAGAGTTTTCAAGGTACGAAAATATATTTCTCGCTATTAAAAAGGATATCAATACCAAGATGTGGTCCGTTTCACACAGGGAGAAATCTACTCCTCAAATGGAAATTCCATTCTTCACTGGTAATTACCAGCAGTGGACATCATTTAAAGATTTATTTCAAGAATCTATTCACCATAATCCGTCCCTATCCAACGCACAGAAACTCCAATTTTTAAAGAGTAAGCTGAAGGGCGAGGCGGAAAAGCTAATACAGCATTTAAATGTTTCCTCTGAAAATTACCAAATTTCATGGGACATTCTCAACCACCGTTTTAATAATAAAAAGTTGATATTCACTTCTCATCTCAACACGCTGTTGAATTTACCAGTTTTACAAGTCCAAAATGCTGTGCTTATAAAAAAGTTACATGACACAACCAATGAATGTCTACACGCTATTCAAAAATTGGGCGTTGATACCTCAACGTGGGATCCTATCATCGTTCATTTATTGGCCCAAAAGCTTGATATCGACTCACATAACGAGTATGTGGGCTCCTTAGAAAGTCCGAGAGAGCTGCCAACACTAAAGGATTTTTTGAAGTTTTTGGAATCTAAGTTTACGTCTTTAGAAGCTTTTCGCCGCAAACAGGAGTCAACCAAGCATTCACAACATGAAGATTTTCGTTACAAGAGACCATATCATCAATCATCTACCAGTCACCAACAAAATAAACCATTTACCAAACCATCTACTTCATACAAGACTTTGCACGTGGAGTCTAAAAGATGTCCTCATTGCAACGAAAAACATGCAATTTACATGTGCAAACTCTTTCGCGAATCTAGGCCGGACGTAAAGCGAAAAACAATTGCGAAATTCAGTCTTTGCGAAAATTGTTTATTCGATCACCACGGCAAAGAATGCTTATCCAACAAAACGTGTCGCTTCTGCAACGGCAAGCATAATTCCTTGATTCACGACTTGTTTACGTCATCGATAGAAAGTTCAACAGTCGCGAACACCAAACCAATGAGTGACAGGAAAACATGTCACGTTTCCAACGGGAACATAGCGGAAACCCTTTTAGCTACAGCCAATGTCAAGGTGCAAGCTGCAGATGGGAGCTACATTATTCTACGGGCGCTCATAGACCAGGGCTCTCAAACATCTTTAATATCCGAAAACGCAGCCCAAATGCTACGATTATCCAGAAGACGTCATAAGGGAGTTATCTTTGGCATTGGCGCAAAAGAAAATAACTGCAAAGGGCTTATTCGCATACATATACATTCATTATTAAATGACTTTTCCATAAGTACAGATGCGTTTATTATGAACAGTTTGATAAATAAATTACCAAACCATTCCTTTGAAAGGCCGACCTGGAAATATTTAGAAAATATTGATTTAGCAGATCCTGAATTTTATGTTAGTAGGCAAATTGATATTCTACTGGGTGCGGATATTTATTCATCGATTATAATGAGCGGTATTATAAAATTAGGACCACACCACCCTGTTGCGCAAGAAACACAATTTGGATGGATCCTATGCGGTAATGTTGAAAACAAAACGTTCAATTGTAATGTAGTTCTCAACCAAACAGACGCATTACAAAGATTCTGGGAAATCGAAGACATATCGCAGACATCACCATTTTCTGAAGCCGATGACCATTGCATTAAGTATTACCAGTCTACAACCATAAGGGATGAAAACGGAAGATATCATGTGAAAATTCCTTTCAATCCAGACCAAGAAAACCAGTTAGGAACATCCAAACCCATGGCTATTGCTCAATTTCGACAACTAGAAAGAAATTTTTCTAAAAATAACTTATTTGCAAATGATTATAAAATATTTATGAACGAATATCGCTTATTAGATCATATGACACTGGCCGCCCGCGACAACGGTAACAAGATACTCGATTGCTATTTGCCGCACCATGGCGTAATGCGTTCTGAGTCATCTACCACTAAACTTAGAGTCGTTTTTAATGCGTCGGCTAAAACATCGACGGGTCGCAGTCTGAATGACGTCATGGAGGTAGGTCCCAATCTACAACAAGACTTACAATCTTTGATTTTGAAGTGGCGTCAATACCGCTACGCTTTCACAGCCGATATAGAAAAGATGTTCCGCCAAATTAGAGTCCAGGAAAGCGATCAAAAATACCAGAAAATTATTTTGCGGGACGCACCAGACCAACCACTCCAAGAGTACCAGCTCACCACTGTTACGTACGGAACCAAATCTGCCCCTTTTTTAGCGATCATGACTTTAAGACAACTTGCTATTGATGAAAGTTCCAAGTACACCATCACCAATGCTACCAAGGTCCTAGAAGAATCATTCTACATGGATGACGTCTTACATGGATGCCATAAAATATCCGATGGCGTTTTATTAAAAGCGGATTTAATTAAATTACTTAGATCTGGAGGCTTCAATTTACATAAATGGAAGTCAAATACCAACGAATTACTGTCTGATCAAAACCAAATCAACCAAAGCGACTTTGACTTCAAACAAGCGGAATCTACCAAAACATTAGGTCTCAGTTGGCAACCAACCAATGATTTATTTATTTTCGATTATAAAATAGACTTGAGAAATTCTCACCACACCAAAAGGAGCCTTCTATCGGACATATCTAAGTTATTTGACCCGCTAGGCTGGATTTCACCAATTACCACGAAGTTAAAAATATTATTCCAAAATGTTTGGAAAACACAGCTTGAGTGGGATGAAAAATTACCTGAAGAGATATACTGCGAATGGATAAAAATAAGAACAGATCTACAGAATATTAGCCAGCTGCAAGTACCAAGATGGTTGGGTATTCAAGATCAAGATACCATCGAATTACACGGTTTCTGCGATGCCTCCATCAAAGCTTTTGCCGCCGTCATATACTGCAAAATAACCAGAGGCGACGCAGCATCAGTTGCGTTGGTTGTAGGAAAAACCAGACTAGTGCCAGCCAGTAAAACCATTACCTTGCCGAAACTAGAACTTTGTGGGGCACATCTACTTTCAAAACTAATGCAGAAGGTCCGTGTTTGTTTTGAAAATTATGAAACCAAAATGTACGGTTGGATTGACTCAATGGTCGTTCTAGGGTGGCTCAACGGAGAACCTACGCGTTGGAAACCGTTCGTAGCCAACCGTGTCAGACAAACAACGGAGATCATACCAGTAGAAAATTGGCAATACGTCAAATCCGAAGAAAACCCGGCTGACTGTGCAAGTCGAGGTTTGAATGTCTCTCAATTAAAACAGCATCAGTTGTGGTGGCAAGGACCTCACTGGCTATCTTCATATTCAGATAGATTACACAATAAAAAACCAAAATACACCACTGATTGTGAATTAAAGAAATGCAATAAAAATAATATTCATTTAGTGACTCATATACCCAGAGAAAATATTGTACTAGATTTAATTTCAAAACATAGTACGATATCAAGGTCAGTCCGTATTCTTGCTTGGATAATGCGAATGCGAAATACATTTAAATTACCATATTTAACCACGACAGAATTAAATAAAGCTAAAGAATTAATAATAAGAACAGTACAACAACAAGAATTTGCAAAAGAAATTATGAGTTTAAAAACCAATAACAATCTAGAAAAATACAGCAAAATTTATAGTTTAAACCCATTTTTAGATGAAGTGGGCTTACTTCGCGTCGGCGGCAGACTGAAAAATGCTTACATAGAAGAAAATATGAAGCATCCCATAATTATTCCACCAAACCATATTTTAACCAAACTTTTAGTCGATCATGCTCACCAACAAACACTCCATGGTGGTGCAAGACTTACCTTGGCATTTCTCAGAAGGAACTACTGGATAATCAGCGGAAATCGTATCACCAAAAAATATATCCGCTCATGCGTCAACTGTAGAAGAAACGGACCAAGTTTACAACAACAGTTGATGGGAGACCTTCCAGAAGCTCGAAGTAACCCGTCACGTCCATTTTACCACACGGGCGTTGACTTTACTGGTAGTATCCTTATTAAGGCGAATAAGGGCAGGGGCATGAAAACCATGAAAGGTTACGTGGCAGTGTTTGTGTGCATGGCAACCAAAGCCGTGCACTTGGAGTTGGTCTCGGACCTTAGCACTTCGTCATTCCTCGCTGCATTACGTAGAATGGCAGCCCGAAGAGGAACGCCTCACCATATATATTCCGATAACGGAACTAACTTTGTAGGTGCAAGCAGGGTACTGAAAAAAGAGTTCGAGGAGCTGAAGCATATCTTTAATGAAGAGTTTTTGTCAGAAGCTTCGGAGATGGGTATTCACTGGCATTTCAATGCACCAGCGTGGCCTACGGCAGGGGGACTGTGGGAGGCCGCAGTCAAAAGTCTCAAGTATCACCTCAAGCGAGTAGTAGGAGAGCAAAGGCTCACTTTTGAGGAGTTTACCACGATCTTAACCCAAATAGAAGCGTGCCTCAACTCACGGCCGTTGTGTCCCCTAACAGAAGATCCAGAGGACTTAAACTTCCTTACACCATCTCACTTCTTAGCTAGTGGATCCACTCTTACCATTTTAGAAACCGAAACGGACTTAAGAACCAGGTGGCATTTGACGCAAAAAATCTTTCAAGATATTTGGAAGCGATGGCAAGCGGAATATCTTACACAATTATCGGCGAGATCTAAATGGCGACAACCAAAGGAAAACATTAAAATCGACGATGTCGTCATTATACACGACACCAACCTACCTGCTGGGAAGTGGGCGCTGGGACGAGCGGTCGAGCTTCACCCTGGCAAAGATAATTACGTCCGAGTCGTCACCATAAAAACCAAAAATGGATTCATGAAAAGGCCTGCCACAAAATTATCAATCTTACCAGTATCAAATCACCAAGAAGAAATAAAACCAGCTCCTCAAATACCTGAAAACCAAACTCTTGGTGAGTGAAAACCAGAAAAAACCAACCGAGAAAGTCATTTACTACTTGTTTATCACTGCTACTAATGTTATTTACTTGTTTATTTACACCAGCTAGCTGTTCGTATAATATATATCCTTTAAACAAAAATAACAATATGTACTTTCTCGATAAAACATCTATTATGTATTTGATTAGAGATGAATGGAAACTCGTCGTGTATTACGATTTAAACCCTTATTGGCAAGGTACCACTCTGCTAAATAAGTACGTCACTCACCTTGAAACCATATGTTCCAAACTTAAACAGACACAATGTGACGTACTCTTATTACAATTAGGTCATGGATACCAAGAATATAATTACTACAACCGCATATTGCTCGGTCAGCAAACTGCGCGCCCGATAACTCGCCGGCGCCGCCGCGGACTTATCAATGGAGTCGGTAACGTTGCCCACACTTTATTTGGAATTCTGGATGAAAGTTTTGCCGATCAATATACCAAAGATATAAACCTGATACGAATTAACGAAAAACATCTTGAAAATTTGTGGCGGAACCAAACTTCGGTAGTAGAAGCAGAGTATAATTTGCTAAAAAGAACCGAATCGACAATGGAACAGCAACATAAAAAGTTTAATCAACACTTGATAAATCTCGAAAAGGCAGCAAAACAGTTAAATACGGAAATAAACCACGCTATCGATATGAATGACTTTACCATATCAGCATTAATTGCAAACAACATTCTCTCTAACTTACGAAATATTCAGGAAACGTTATTAGACACCATTACCAATATCTATTATGGAAACTTCAACATACACTTGTTGAAACCAGAACAGTTAATTCAAGAACTTCATTTAATAACGGGACACATTTCCAAGGATTTATCGCTACCAGTCGATAACATCCAAAATGAATTACCAAAGATATATCATCTGATGAAAGTAAAAGCAAGAACTACAAATGAATATTTGTTATTTGAGATTAAAATCCCACTTGTAAGTAGAGATATGTATGATGTATATAAAATTATACCAATTCCGAAAGGGAATAACGAAACCATGGCCACCCTATTGCCTGTTGCCTCTCACGTTGCTATTAATTTACGCAAAGATTTATATTTACCAATGCCGGACAATGTTCTCCAGAGCTGCACCCTCTATGATGTGGAAGTTCAACTCTGCCCAGTGCATACCCCACTATATCAGTTTAAAACTGATGAAAGTTTATGTGTCAAGGATCCGATCACCGGCAACTGCAAAACAAGTATTGTTCCGTGTGCTCAGTCATGGTCTCAACTTCAAAGGACGAATACTTACCTTTTCTCCTGTTGTCATGAATGTCCTATAAGAATAATGTGTGATCAACTCATATCGGCGGAGCGACTCACCGGGGCCGGTGTGATAACGCTCGGAAACGGCTGCGTCATCAAGGGCGAATCTGTCACCATAATGGCGCATAAGCAACTCTCCAATAATATAAACATAAAACCAGACATCTTGACGCCAGACATACCGCCTATAAATAATATAATAAATGTCACTATCCCTGACTCTCCCATGGTAATGACTCCTAGTGGTTTACAAAAGGATCTAAAGCAACTCGGTGACCAGATTAGAGAAATAAAATCTCAGCCTGGCGTAGCAGATGTCGTCTCTTACCACGACGTTCACCAGTACGTCGCCATCTACGTGTTGCTGGGAGCAGCCATCGTTGTCAGCCTCGCATGGGCGACCCACCGGGTGCGCGCCTCCTCCACGCGTAGCGACATAGACGCTACATATAGTGCTAGTGCCGGTGTGCAGTGTGTTAGTGTTAAAGAGTGCGTATCTGATTCAACCAATTACAGTGAAATAAAATCTGAAGGGCCTAGTGCGTGTGATACAAAAATCGAAAGGCCCAGTGGTAGTGAAAATACAAAAAAGTGCCAAGTTCGGTTTAATACTACACCAGTGCCAAATTTCCGCACCCATTTTAGACAATCTAATTAATTTATTATTATGTACTAACAACTTATTGTTCTTTCATCTTGTTAAGCACTTCACCACATTATTATTTACTTTGCACTTTACTAATAATAGCTATAACTTTCCTTTAATTTCTATTGCATACCACTGCATTTTTCTCTCCCCCGGGAGAGATTTCTACATTATTCTACGGGCGCTCATAGACCAGGGCTCTCAAACATCTTTAATATCATCTCGAGCTTCGAAGGCCTATGCCCCAACAGTGGAGACATTAAAAAGGCTGATAATTATGATGATTATAGATAAAGATGATGCATAAACTTACTCCAGAGAAGTTTCCGAACATGCCTCCGGGTCCCATGCAAGTTATCATTTCATTATAAGACGACAGAACATCGACCTAAGGATAATATTAGTTAAATTTTGTTAGAAATTAAGGGTACAAAGGATTAAAACAAAGGAAACTCCCAGAAGGGTGTCTTCAACTGACAATTTGAGGACCTCCGTGGCGCGAGTGGTATGTTCACCGGGTTCTAAGGTGTCGCCTACTCGAGAGCTCCCGGTTCGAATCCCGGTGTGGAAAATGATGAGTACGAGCATTTGTACCTAAGTCGCGGATATGTATTTATATACCTATATTTCTAGATAAATATACATATATATATATATGTATCAGTATTTTACCCTAGAATCCGATAATACAAACTTTGCAGAACTTAATTTGGGCCTAGGCTAATTGGTGTGCGAGTAAGAAATATTACAAAAATAATCTTAAAAAAACTTATTGAAGACTGAACAGTCAAATAATAGCACATGCCTCTGGTTATTCTGATCTTCCAGTAAGTCAAGTTGCTACAGCTCCACAAGTTAGAGGTATTGCGTTAATATCGAAAAGATACTTTACGGAAGAATACAGTAAAATAACAGTACCTTTGGATAGTGTTATATTTCTGTTGGTAAGGTTTAAAAGCTTCATGGGGTTGGATATGAGGTGAGAGTAAGGACGCAACGTACGAATGATATTGTACGGTAAATGATACAAGCGTCTTAATCTATTCGCTTTTCAGTTAAAATTTTCTCGTCTTTACAATCTTTAATAATTCATTATTATTTTTATTTACATCTGAACAAAGCAGTCACTTTTCTGGACGATGTAAAAAAAAATTAAAATTTACCGATTAGATGCTTACAACAAAAGTTCTCAGATTAAAAAACAATTTAGTCGTTACATTTCCTTATTTTCTCATTCTCATCGTGTTAACACGAAAGAAAAATAAACAAGCAGGAAATTCTTTAAGGAAAACATTCGAAAGTAATTTGAATAAATTAATTGTATACTTACTCAACAGCAGAGGTCATACTTTGATGGACTTTTTACGTAACGCAAATACTTTTCGTGTTTGTCAAAGTAATACCAGCTCAATTAGGTTCTGCCCGCTACTTCGTCAAAGTTGAGATCATTTTCATTATAATCATCATCAACTTATGATTTTAGGAATAATAGCACATTCAGAACAAATCTTTAAAAAAATCCAATACATGCTATTGCGCCATACTATATCCCATTTGGCTATGGTTGACTCTAGGATTTTGATTTTGTAAAGCAGAAAAATGCTCCGCTAAGTTTCACCTTGCCATCCAAAACCCAATCCTTCAGCTCTTGAAACCCTAGAACCTCACTTACAGACAGCACCTTTATCAAAGTTTGGCATACACCCTAGCAAACTTCTTGAGCAAAGACCATAGTCAAGGTCACCTGCGTAGTCTGTGCGGAAAGAGAATGGGCGTGGCGAAAAACGGAACTAACATTAAGATTTGTCAATCAAACCCAGCAATCTGTTAAACGTCAAAGTTTTGTATTGATACGGATTTGTTTGTTTTTGTGATTTCTTGCGGTTTTTTGTATTTAATCATGTCTAAAAAGGGAAAAACCTTACAAATACGGTAAAAAAGCACTACAGCGCCCTCCAATCTAAATCCCAGTCTCTTTCCGCACAGACTCTAATAGCAATTTTAGATAGAAAACCGTTTACTGCGCAAAATTATTTGTTTGTCTCTGGTTTTGCTTAAGAAGTTTGTCACTACCAGCACTTACCTTTCCTCTATAAATAATGTAAATATACGGCTGCACATCGTGGCACTGTATGACAATGTCTCCCTTAAGGAAGTACATCTCGCGAACATGCTGCGTGAATACTCTGATGAAGGAGCGCTCTACTCTCCCAAAGATTGGCACTTCACGTAACGCCTTCTCGTACATAAACACCAGGGTATCTTCCATCAAAGCAGTGTTCAATCCACGGCATATTTTCTGCGAATTAAATTTAATGTAAACATAGACAACATAGTGTTTTCTACTTCCAAATAAGAATTGACCCATATTTTTTTATGTTTATGCAGGCAAACGTGGCAGTCCACCTGATGATATGTGGTCACTGCCGCCCTTGATGTAAATTGTCCATCACTTGCACCAAGAGTACCACTCATGCATTGCCGGCTCTGAAGGAAAAGGTTTACCCGCCTTTTGAAGGTTTACACGCCTTTTGAAGACCGTCATATTATAGCTTAAATAAAAAAACCGCTGAGGGAAGTTCGTTCCAGATCTTGCTGCAAGAACGCCAAGCGTCCAGATGGTGAGGGTGTAACTTCTCCCTGCGGCGTGTGATGCGGTGAATGAACTTGGCCGCTAGCACCAGATTAGGCTAGATAGTGTGCCCCATTGCGATATATCAACCAACTAACATGCGTTTAATCCTCTACGGAGGAATAAGAGAATAAGATGTTTAATCTCGCTTATTTACAACTCGGCGTTCTTTAAAACGGCCGTCGTGAGGGTTTGCGACTAAACGTCATCTACACTCAACATCAGGTAAAGAAACCAACTTGGTCTGATCAGCGGTTAAATTGATCTCCCTTTAATATTAGAGAGTTAGGGCACAGCGGATTTTCCCCTCGAATTGGAGCGCCAGTCTGGGGAAGTAACCTCCACTTTACAGAATATTATAGTAAAATAACACTTCCTTTTGGTGGTGTCATATTTCTGGTGCTGGGTAAAGTTCCAGGGCAGGGTAAGGGTTTGGGACAGGGTAGGCAACAGAGCGAGTGATATTTATGGTAGCGCAAGCGGTTATGGTCGCCGCTTACCGTCAAGCGATCCATATGCTTATTGACAATCCTTTTAATAAATAAAAAAAAACACCAGAAAAGATGCTATAGAATTTGAAAAATATACCGATATTTTAATAAAATATAAAAAAAGTCTTCGAAAACTATTACAATTTCTAATTTTAAGTTATTATTAAAGTATTCATTAGAATCACTGGTGGGTGGTGAACAAATAGCATGATTTGATTCTTTTAGTGGCAGTAGCTAAGTAACACACACAAACACGGTAATGTATGAATACAAAAAAAACCGGTAAACTGACACTTCTTGCGAGTAAAACGAGAGTCACGTAACTAAAACTTCGCTCAATTTGCCAGGTCTACTCTTTGTAATATATTTACTTTTTCCATAAGCCATTGCAAATATGGCAAGCCAAACTCGCCTACCTAATTAAAAGTTCCCAATATACCAAACAGGTAAAAACTCTGCGCAAAAAGGGGTTAACCCGGTCTCCCCTTAAAGTTTTTTGCGAGCAAATGTGAAATGGAAACTGCTAACTTGAGGGTTGCTTCCATTTGTCTTCTTCCATACGTATTCGAAGTATTTCAATGTGTTTTCAGTGAGTAGCGGATCGACATTCTCCTGGTATAGAAAGTTTGCAAGGTCCTTTGTTTTCTCCTATAAAGTGTATGAAAACTGTGCTCGTTAAAAGTAATAAAATTACAGCGCAAGTAATAAAGTAAATTTTATTTAAAAGAAAAATTTGGATTGCAAAATTTTGATACGATCATACCTAATCATCACTTCTCGAGAAAACTTGGAAACTTTTTAAGTTAGGAAAGCAACTGTAATTTATTATCTGTTCTAGTTCTTATTTTTTATGCGTAAATATTAAGGAAATGAATTTATTAAGGCAAATGATAATAATGACGGTTTTATTGAAAAAAATGGTGGTATTTTGCCAATTACGAACATATATAGCGACGTACGTATATGTATCTATAAATATAAACATCCAAGGGCAAGGTACAAATATATTGTTTTAAACTTTCATGGTCACTAACATAATGTATGTAATAATATAAGATACAAATGCTCGTATCCATCATACTAACATTTGCCTCACTGGGATTAGAACCCTGAAGACTACACCTTGAATAACTACCCTAAAATATGACGCATTCTAGCCTTAACCAACGAATTTTGTTGAATTGATTTGCCTTCCTGGAACCTCGCCATTAACATTTGAAATTTATGGTGTGGTATTAAAGTTCAAATTATTACGAATCTTTTGTATGGGAGTATAGAAAATTGTTGTTTTTGGACTTTTCAGGCATTTTTTTTAATTTTTCTCTGCGTAAGAACCATCCTCGTACTTCAAGGAATATTGTAAAAAAAATAATTATCGAAATCGATTAAGCTGTTCTCGAGATTTGCGCTTAGCAACACATTCAGTGATTCCTTTTTATATTATAGATGACAAAAATCGAACAGGTTAAAAAATTGCGGTGCGAAGTTAGCCAACCAGCCTGTATAACATATAATAAAATCTCACCGAGTGCTCCAAAAGCGCGTGCGCCTGGGTAGACCTCGAAGAAGCGACGTAACCAAAGACAAACGCGAAGTATAGATAGCCCGTTACTGTAAGGCACGTTCTCAGCATTACGTTATTCGATAACGCAGCTGGTGTGCAACCGCATCCTACAAAGGCAATGCCAGAGATTTCAATTCCTGGGATCCAGCAACATCGGCATTGGCACTAATAAGTGAAGTAAACCACAAAAGTTTTGCAACTCAAAACAGAAGCTGCCAGCCTGATCAAGCACCTTACGGAAAGCTTAGGATAACAAAATTTTTGGTAATAAGACTTGATCGGTATAAATATTCCAGAAAATCTACCCATGAGCATGAGAAACCAAGCGGAGATTTTTGGATTTACTCGAGCACGGCAGAATAACATAAGGAGGGCAACCTTGCACCCTTCGAAGTACTCCCACTATATCTATTGACATTCTATGTAGGACGAACGCCTTAAGTAGCAAAAAATATTTCAACAAACGGCCATGACTCTTGGTCGCGTCCAAATCGTCAGTCTTTTGAATAGAAGGTTCACCCTACTGGAAGGTTCACGTAACATTCCCTAGTGCTTATAAATTGCGATTAGTTGCTTGCTTGCTCTTGTGTTGCATCAGCTTATCAAGAAAACCTCCGTGCTTACGATGCCAAGTCCACCTGTATCTATCTGCTGTGTCATATAGATTCAACAATCTATACTGAGTCCACGTGCTAGTTTATAATACGTATAGGGCCCCCGACTCCTTCGTTGTCCCAGGACCTGCACACCTCTAAATGTGGTCCAGCAACGGAAACGAAACTCCAGATGGCAAAGTATCTGGAGACTATGATGGTTACTTCCCAGCTTCAAACTAAAGATACTTTTAACATGAGAAATTTAGCAACTGACGTAAAGGAGGATTATGTTTTTAATCATAGGTGTCATTATGCAACTCACCAATAAATATTTCGAATACCCAAAAAAACGTATTTGTATATTCCGCAGCAGCATCTGCAACAAATGAATCAAATATAATGCTAGACAAAGTTCGCAATAGTTATGGTCATATGACATAGCGACCGTTACAATCACAAATAGAAAATCAGTTGGCCACTTGGGCGTAATTCTAGAATACTCTTAACATCAAACTGCGCCTGCTTAGAAGGTGCAATGGTGTTAGGGAATTCCTTTTTTACATGAGCATAAAATCAATTTTAAGATTCCGTACCTCGATCGGCAAAAACGGAACCATTATAGAATAACTGGGTTACCTGTCTGTCTGTCTGTCACAATCGGTTTGCTCGAAATCTACTGGACCGATCAAGTTGAAATTTGGCACATAAATGTACCCATATCTGTGACCCAAACACAGACGAATAAAGTTAATAAATCAATTCTGAATATGGGGGTTACTTTTGGGGGGTGAATTAGAAAAACTAAAAAGCTGTATACAACAGACGTGATTTTTTTCTGTGTTTTTGCTCGATATTATATTATAGTATCTAATGTTGTATGGATAATTGTACATACATGGTGATGTGCGCGAGTCCGACTCGCACAGGGCTGTTTTTTTTTTACAAAGTAAGGGTTCAATGACTTTCTAATGATATAAACAGTTACTATAAAGTCCATATAATACTAACATTTATCATCAAACTTTGAGGCGGATATTACTAAAACCCTCATACAGCGAGCCATTACAGTATTATTTCTTCTTTCTAAAAACGGAGTACAAGATTGTGTGAAAATTATGGCGGTGGCAAAGTTGACGACAGTCACCGCTATGGGCAGGAACTTTATCAACACCACAATAGGGTTCACATTCAATATGTCACTCTCCCAGTAATTGAAAGCTCCCATTATCCTGGTAACCTAGAAATGGAGATAAATTTAACTTAGCTTAGTTGACAAAAATTATTACATTAACTCGCACGTTGAGATTGTTCTAAAGATTTCATCATCATCATCTCAGCGGGACGATGCCCACTGCTGAGAATAAGCCTCCCCCAATGATCTCCTCATCGATCGGTCCTGTGCCACGCGCATCTATCAGTTTCCCGCGACCTTCACCAGATCATGGGTCTACCTGGTGGAGGCTTGCCCACCAAGCATCGTTCGGTGCATGGCCTCCATTCGAGAACCTTTCCGCCCCAACGGCCATCGTGCTACGTGTCCCGACCACTGCCACTTCAGCTGAGCAACCCTTCGAGCGATGTCGGTTACTTTAGATTTTAGAATGTTCTAAAGGTGTAAGAACTCCAGTCAAATTCATTAGAAATAATAAGATACAAAATTATACTGGCTGCGCTTAATTTAATTCATACTTATAAGGTAGAGGAAAGGAAAAATTTGTAAATATGCTTTATATAATTTAACTTACAAGTAACATCCGATTCATTCTGTATAAATCCATATTAGTATTTTCATTCACTATACGTAACTGGAAGAAAAAAAGAAAACGTGATTATCGTGAAACAGTCGGTTGGAACAACAAATTGGAATGAAGTTGAAAGTAAACAAAGTTTAAGTTAAGTACATAACAACACACAATACGCTACGTAACAACTGACGATTGTGACCGAAAAAACGTACACCTTTTTCTCCTAGCCCCCATCCGCCAAGTCCGTAACGTGTCGTCCGAAAAGGAATTCGTTCCAAAAACAAGTGACACTGATAGATATTGTTTTATTATTCAACTTAACTTTAAAAAATAAAATTCACCACATTCCATTTGTGAAAAAGACATCACCTATTTTCTATATCCACTCCGCCTGTTTCCAGGCTCGACAAAGATGAATATCACATTCACTTCTCAACAGTTAAGTGTTAAAGAAACATTATGAAAAAGTGAGATCTTACCACTTGTTCGAGAGGAAATATACTGATAATGTCCAGGATGAACGTACTCTTCAAATAGCGGGAGGTGGTCAGCAGCGGATGAGTCACAAGCAAAGATTTCTCATTGTAGTATGCCACATACGCCATCACTACTACATCGATATACAATAATATATCTGGCCATGTATACATAAACGAGTATTTATATTGTCGAGTCTGGAATAAAATATAATAATGATGGAAATGTTCAAAAAATATTCACTCCACGGGATATGGATTTAGACAGGGTTGGTGTAGGAGTGACCTCCTATATAATGATATTAGGATGAAGGAAGAAAGACCACTGATACACCAGACCACTGTTGAATGCATTACGAGCATTGATTTATAGAGAAAATATACGTTTTTATATACCTAGTACAATGACGTATTATAATGCGTTTCTTAGATACAGCTACGTGATTAAAGTAGGTTATGCTTGCTCTACAGATGTATAAGATTACTTTACGTGACTCGTACAGTAGGCAAAGGCGCGAGTGATAATCCGGTATCGCAAGCGTCTTATACTATGGTGATACCATCCGGTGGGCTCATTTGTATCGGATCCAAAATTAAACGCAAACATTCGCAAATAAAAAACACTGTTTCTCGTGCTTTCGAAAAAATCATTCTTGTGATGATCTATAATTCTATATTTCTTATTATTTTTATGTTAAAAGAGTGGCAAACATGAGGTAAGTGGCTGATGGTAAGCGGCTGATGGTAAGCGGCTGATGGTAAGCGGCTGATGTGAGCGACTGATGGTAAGCGGCTGATGGTATGCGACCACCACAGCCTACAGACACATGGGATACAAAAAACATCACTCGCGTCGTTGCCTACCCTGACCCAATCCCCTACCCCGTGGGGCACTGGAACCTTACTTACCGACAATCTTATAACATAATTAGTATAATTTAGATAAGGATAAGGTGGACTTTCCGAACTTTCTGCAAGATAGGCTGCTAACATCTAACAACATACAAAGTAAATATTTAAATAAATATTTCCAACACTCACACCAATTAGCCTAGCCCCAAAGTAAGCATTGTAAGCTTGTGTTATGGGATACTAGGGTAACGGATAGAATACATATACTATAATACATATATAAGTATATTTATATAGAAATACATATTAAACATCCATGACTGAAGTATAAATGCTCGAATTCATCACACAAACATCTGCCCCCACCGGGTTCACCCGGGACTCGAGTCGGCGTCTCCATGAAACCCGGCGTACAAACCACTCGACCACGAAGGTTTTCAAAGTAGGCTAGTTTGTTACCAGTTCATTAAAAACAATTATTTATATATATATCAAATCTCTCCATATGATAGAAATGTATATTAGGAAAAAAATATCATTGAAGTACTTACAGCAAAATTATATGGAATCGTTAAAATATAGTAGACGGCCAATACAAATCGCAAAGCGCACCAGAACTTGAGGAACATGCCATGAGGAGTGATACTTCCGGGCAGGAACACATACCTAAGATATCTGAAAAAAAATATTGAATACTACAGAATTGTTACTAAACTAACTTTAATGAAAAAAAAACTTGCCAACTGCGTGACGTGCCAAGCGCAGTGTAGGGTTCCGCAGATATTTTATTGTGATTTTTAAATGTTTCTTTTTTTCAATGCTGTTTAAGGCGTAATAAACAATATATTTTTCATCTAAGTCATTTTGAATGTGATCTTCTAAGAATTTTCATTAGGTAAGAAAATAAAATTTATTTATTTATTTAAAAAAGAAAAATTATCAAATGCATAAATTAAACGGCTATTACTCTGAAAGTAACTGATCTATCTTACTTGATATAATTTTCCTTAAAAGTAAAGCACTATTATCGTGAATTTTTCTATATTTTTCAAGCTAATAGTTTTGCTTTTAGAGCGGGGTGGACGCCCTACTCGAACAAAAATTAGCACTTTAAGGATTAATATTTCGTAAACGGATCCCTAAATCAAAAAATAGTATTGGCAATCCCTAAGTCATTTGTCTTCAAGTTAAAAGACCTATTTAACAATACCCCACACTAGGTAGGCGATGAAATCCCCCCTTGACATGTGGGAGAGTTACCCTAAAAGAAATATTTTTTACAATATTATTCAACTACTTTGTCGGCGTGATTGATATCGTATCTCCACTCACATAATAGCTCTCAAGTGCTAACAGTCTTCAAGCAAAACCTCGGACGGACAGACAGACATACGTAAATGACGAAACTATAAGGTTCCTTGTCAGGACTACGGAACCCTAAAATTTTAAATACTTATAAACAAATGATTTATAATCACACGGTAAGAAGCAGACTTACTTATGAATATGATGCCGGCACTTCTCTTGCCTATTAGAGTTTGCTATTTGTAAACTTGACATCAGTCTGCCCTTATCATGCTCTACAAGGAATGAAAAGGGCAGACTGATTTCATGTTTACAAATAGCAAATATGAATAGCCAAGTTAAGAACCGGCAAGAAATATCTAAATTGCCCTGAATCACGCGCTTTACAAGATTATGTACACGCGTAGAGCGTGCAAAGATGTTGTTAAACATGAAAACATCGTCAATAAATTGTATCAGAAAATGTAATATTTTAGCTAGAACTTACTTCATAACTCCCAACCTATCGAAAGTGTTCACATACTGAACTCGATTCCACCCAGATAGAACAACAAAACTTTCTTTTATCTCTTGCTGTAACAAAATAAACAATGCAAATGAGTCTACAAATGATATCAGTAACGTTAGTATAATTCGCTACACACGTATTGCTAAATTATTTTGATTAATGTTTAAGACACGACAATGCTAATTTTACCAGTATTTTTAATAATGTCCTGTCCAAAAAATGCTTAAAAGTATTTAATACGAGTACGTGCCTAACAGGTAAAAAATTGTACCCGAAGAAATTGATCGCGTAAACTGCGGTGCCTTATTTGGACTATGACAATTCAAATTTCAGCGTCCATACTAAAAGTTTATTTGACTATTTCTTTTGAAGGTTACTTTTATACTTTAAAAAAAATGTTGAATCCCTTTTTTAACCCTCTGAACCAATAGTATGTTCGAACCGCAAAGACTCATCAATCATCAAAGCCAACGCAGACTTCTGACTCGTCGATTAAAAGCAAAACAAAGCACAAGTTTCGTTAGAAGTTCTATAGCAACATTCGATAGAATTTACCGCTATCCTGTTTATTTTCGTATCCATCCGACCGGTTAGTGGTTTCGCCTCCTCGTATTGTTTTAACTGGCGACGGAGCTCGGTGTCTTCCAGGACCTATTCAACATTTCAGAGCTATTAATAACTGGCATTAAAGCACTTGAAATGTTAACAGAATACCGTAATATGGAAAAGTTGTAAAGTAAGTAAAGTTAACGTAAAGTTGGTAATAATATTGCTGTTGATGAAATAACTTACTTTTACGTATAGACAAAATAAGTATATTAGTATATAAAAGTAATGAGTTAATGTTTTAGTTAAATACTAAACTAGCATTATTTAGTTATAAATTGAGAAATTGTTTCAGCAAGTAATCAAAGTATTTACAATACAAGACAACAGAAGCAATTAAGCTAGCAGAATTGGGCCTACTGAACTTTGGGGCTTATGCCTGAGGGATGAATAATCACTTAATTACTAAGACATCAAGCACAATAATTCACGCCACCTACCAGCTACTACTGTACAAACGAGACTTCGCGTTATAGCGACATTACGAGGGTGCGATATTAAAATCATGAATTAGGTACCCACCAAAATGAAGAGTTTCATTATGGAAGTGCGGTAAAGATAAACAAGCAAATACTTACAGAACGTTTAAGCCGTTATACTAACGTGAAAAACTGTAAGTTTGTAGATCATCATCATCATATAATATTAATGTTCCTGTTAATATCCCCACTCCTAGGGCACGCGGGCACAGTTCGGATTGATGGATGCAAACGACTGCAGATGCAGCCGGGACCAACAGCTAAACGTATGGTCCGAAGCACAAAATACCTCGAGAGAGAAATTTTTCGTCACCCATCCAATGATCGACCACTGCGAAAGTTGTTTAACTTCAACGATCGCAGCCGAACGCGCTTACCACTTGCGTCATTCATGGGCATAGCTAAACGGCCGAAGGTGGTCAATGCCTACTTTAGAAACCTATTTGCCTCAATGGAAAATTATATTCATGACAATACAAATAAGGCAGATATTCAAAGTTTTCCCTACAAATTACCGTCATTATAGGATGACTGATATCCGGGAAGGTGCCCCAGCATTGCACCAGCGTGCTGTACTCCACATGCAGGAGAATGCAATTTGTTGTTGTCAGCACCGTGTACACCTGCAACCGTAGATCATACACTTAATCCTAGTGTAAAGCGACGCGAGCAGTTAGTGCGGTAATTAATATTCCTTGTGCAAGGAATCTTTGTACCATTGTTTATCTTATAAACGTTGAGTGAAAAGAAAATTTTTTAATGTGACATACTGTTAAAATGATACGGTAATGAAAATTCAAATGATAAATTTTTAAAGTTTCAACTTTGAATCATAAGCAAATAAGATTAAAAGTTTTCCCAAAAGCGCCTTCTCACATTGTCATAAAAAATGAAGAAGTACGTCAATAAGAATTTTTAGTTATAATGAACGCTCTGGACACTAACCTTTGGCAAACCAAACAGCATCTCCATCACGCCGAAATTATTACCGGGTCTTATTGTATGGATGACTTTTCCTTGATGATCAAGAAGATTGCAATGACCCTATAAAACAGCATTAAACTATCACATAAAAATATATTCAATAGGTACTTAACCGAATAACATCAATCGACATATTTAACTGTTCACTCAAAAATTATAAAAAATATATCCACGATATGGTAGATAGTTCATAATTATTAATTGTAACCAACAAAACTTGTTATTTTTTTTTATTGGTAAAAACATTAACGTCTTTTTCTTTCTCAATTTTAACTACCTGAACTCCTTTATATGTTTTTATATTATAGTGGAAATTTTATTGATGTATGTTTGTTAATTAGATCTAGGTATAAGTATCAATTCATTGTTTGTTTCCCAAATAAAGATAAAAATAAAATAAAAAAAAACATAAATATGATTAAAGTCTAGGAATTCACTATTCATTAATTGAAAATTTTATCCAACTGAACATGGCTTAAAATTATTTATAGAAGAACTGATAAAAACGAAGACATTTAGGGCTAAAAATAAATAAATGAATGTGAATGAACATCAACCATCATTGATTTAATCGCAGATGTGGGAACAAGTAGCTAAAACACTTTGCATACCACGTTTTTTAAACGCTTCGTAGAACCGCGTTTTAGAAACGTGCGTATACGGCGCACTATTATCCTACAGAGCAATTAGTGATCGTTTGTACGATTGACACTCGCGTTAGCGTCACTTTTGTATAGATTCTAATATGTGACACACCGGCGCATCTGTATCAGTGCACACCACGTTTTTAAAGGCGCCATCGACGCGCGTTTTAAAAACATGCGTCTGTATCGATTCAAACGCGTGTTTAAATTTATACAGGTGTGCAAAAGTCTACAAGCTGCGTCTGACTCACGTGCATATCACGTCTGTATTACCTCAAACGCGCGTAGACAGCGCCTTTAATAAACGTGGGGTGAACAGGCCCTTGTGGATAACAACAACGTAGATACCCAAGCCCCCAGAGATGAAATGCATGAGAGCCATCGCTTATTGATAATTGAGTCCCCATGCGGTCAATTAAAAAAATCACAAGATAGTACTTACTCAGTGCAAAATTTAATACATTATAATAGCACATAGTAAAGATATTTCCTGTCATACATTACTGACCTTTTGAACTATATACATGTCCCTTCCAATATCCCCTCCGTGTTGGACAATCTCGTTATCGGGCAACACAATCGTCCTGCTATTCGCTGCTACGGTTTGAAGGAAGTCTCGACTGCAATCCTATTTAGTACAATGAACGTTTGATTCGAAAAATGTCAGCGGTTCTCTAATGAAACTGATTGAAAAATGAGATAGATTACAAATTAGAGTCAATTACAACTGTACAGATTTCTCGGAAATCTCAGTATTATTGAATGAGTCTTTCCGAGTAATTTAGATTAAATTTAGCAGCAATATTCAGGTAATGGCCTCTTGAATATTGGTTAATCAAACTTTAAAAGAACGGTGTAGTATGCCTAAGGTACTACTTTCAAGCGTTAAAATTGTATATAGGTCTTCTGATTTGAATTTGTTTCTTTTGTAGCATAACTATATTATATTAACTACTTATTTATATTCCTAATTACCTGAAATATAGGACAAAAGAGTAAAGTTTCAACCATTTCAATAGACAGCACTTCTTGTTGTATATTCGACGACATATCTTCAAATATTTCTCTGGTTGAGACGTCTTTGTTGTAATACCTAATAAAAGGAAATTTGCTTAGACACGGTTTGTCTGCAATGAATTCTTGTTTAAGAGAAGTTACTAGCCATGGAGTTTGAGATAGGAGGTTAATGAGGGTTCCTGAAGGGAGTGCTTACCTCCGTGACTTATGAGAAATATAAAATAGCAGCATATTTATTCCGAGTCTTAAGGTCTTTACTCACCACAGCGTATAATAATATTTTGACCATTTAAAATAACAACTTGCTATAGACAAAATTTGGTTATTTTCGTGGAAGATTGAAGGACATTGCACTAACATCTTATCAATATAAGTAATGATGTGGACATCCATAGTATACAACAGACACCGAAATAGATCGCATGTGTACAATCTATTTGACACACTACAAAGATGCTAAGATTTACTTGATGCTAAACGTAGAGAGGCAAGTCTCCTACCTAGGCGTGTCGTTTGTATTGTGGCTATCTATTTGTGGCAATATTATTAAATATGTGGATTTTTTGTGGATTTCTCCCTCGAATTAAGCGCTTGTCAGATAAAATAACCCACATTACAGAATGCAATAACAGAACCTTTGAATGGTGTTGTATTTCTGTCGGTTAGAGCAGAAAATATCAAATCCGACAATTGCTACCAAAATAGTAGTCAATTTATTGAACTCATTGATTGCAGTTTGTAGTAAGTATTGGAGTAGTGTGATGGGTAAAATGATATCGTATCATACAATCAATGCGGTGTCGGAGTGGGTAAAGACCTTAGCGATGCGAAGCATAATAAAACCTCAGTCACGTAATAAAATTCTCCCAATTCTTATTAGTCACAATATAATAAACGAAGGAAGATGTCAGGATTTGATCAGAAACCATACGTAGGTTGTGAATATTGTATTAAACCCAGTAAAAGATGACTCACGCTAGATCGTGTCGTGTCCGGGTCGGGCTTCGGCAGTGGCACGGTCGCCGGGCCGATTCCGTGTTTGTGATTTTCAGGAGCAAATCCGGAGCGAGAGATTACCGGAAGGATCCGGGTCCGAGCCAAAATAGTGCGAATCCTCAGTGCATTTATTATAGCATCGCTGCGGCTGCTCGGGTGCGGCTCGGAGGCGCTGCATGCAACAGGCCGTGGCCGTGCCGAGGCGGGACCAATTTGTTTCCTGGTGATGTCCGTTGCTCGGCTGTAGCTCGGTTGCCGTACGGTGTAGCGTGAGTGTGTCCATATAAAAAAAATGTTGCAATATTCAACCGTGCTGCGGTCGACGCACGGCTCGGGCACGACTTGATCTAGCGTAAGTCATCCTTAACTCGAGATAAACTTGTTATTGGACCGTGGCAACTCACCACTGCACACAGAAAAACTTCTTCACGCGAGCTTTGATCTTCTCGCTGACGTGATTAACTGTTAGAAAGTAGAAGAGCTCCCTCATAGACTCCTGTGGGCAAAGTTTTATTTCGTTCAAAAACTATGTGTTTGTAAGTATCACAGACGAGCAAACTATTTTAATATGTATTGATATTCGTTTCTACGTAAAAGGCTAAGATTTTATCTTCAAGGTTAACTTAGTTGGGGATAGGGTCCTAATTCAAGATTGTTTATTCAGTATCGCCTATTCATGAAAACTTGTGAAAGTCGAAAACCGGTCATATAAAATGTGAACCTGTGACCATATCGAAAATATATTTTTAATTGACAAAAATAAATGATTACCTCTCTGTCATATCTGAACTAGCTGTCTTCATTGCATTATTGGTATTAATATTATTTTTCATAAAAAGTATCTTTTAACTTTGGAATATGACTGAAATTTATATTTAGATCAATGCACATCAATTTTAGTCCCAAACTTAGAAAAGCTTCATATTCTTCTATACAATTATTATGCATAATATGCCTTGACTCCGGAATAAATTATTTCAAACAAATTTCAAAAAGTCAGGGTTATGTTATCCGTTTCAAGTTGTTGCTTGTATTAGGAGATTCATTACATGTAAACTAAAGCTTTGTTTAACTTAAATATAGTAAATACCTTAAATTTTAACTTCCTTTGCATTTCTTGTAAATATAAACTGCAAATTTGAGCAGTGTATATGTAACTTAGATAAGATCCTAAAATAAAGATGAGGAGTACCTGTAATAAGTAAATACAATTGTTATTTTAAATATTCAGAAATAAAACCATGAAAATTTAATGAAAACTAATATATATAATGTACATTCACAATTTTTCAGTATTGATTTCAAAGAATCTAGACCAATATCAAATTCGGAAATAAAGTAATAGTAGCTATGTTAAGATCATTGATATAAACAAATCATCGAACTTAAGCTATATTGCGTGTTTAATCCGGTCTATTCATAAATGAAAAATATAGCTGTCAACCAAACATGTAAACATAAACATTAACAAAATAAAGAAAAGCAGAGTTAAATATGAAAATAACTAAGATAGTAATTAGAAATAAAAGGATATGGAGAAATGACGGTAAGCGTCTAGCAATTTTAGGCTAGCGATTTTTTTAGTGATACGTATTTACAAAATGATGAATAGTGTGTGATATGGTTGAAATTGTGCGTTTCCGAGTATGAATAAGATAAATAAATATATTAAGCTGAAATTGATGACCATGTGGATGAAACGCGCTGTAAAATGGAACCTATAATTGCCATAAAAGTATTGTCCTTGCGGTACGTTACAAAGGATTACTTGCTTGAAGGAAATGATTGATGACGTTTGCGAGTCCGAAATCTCATTGTCAAACGTTACAAATTCGATATTGGTTCGTGCAAAGGGGCAGCGCCATCTCTTCGCATTATAGGTAAACCCACAATGTCAAATGAATACTTTTACAAGTATTAAAGAAATTTTGTATTGCTTACACTGTAAATCGCTTCAACGCAGCGCGAGTGAAGCATATTGTTGTCCTTTTCTTGATAAAAAAATGGCGATTACGTACAACACATTCAAGACAAACCGTGATTTTTGAGAAAAAATGTTTTGACAGTTTTACGAATGAAAAGTATTCCCGAGGCATTTATTATTTGACTTTGAACTATGTTCTTTAGTGTTATTTTAAAAGCATCGAAGGCATTGTTTTATCTTTATAATATAGAATATACGTAATATTGTTATATTGAGTGCACATACAGCGTGTTTGAATGTCCAATTGTGACTACAGCGAATTATGGTCATGCACCACAATTTAAGCGGATCACTTTTGAGCCGCGAGTGCTGTATCTTCCCTTTTTGTTTTAATCTAAGCACAGTAGTCATTCTTTTCTAGTCTTCATTAAGGTAGTCTTCCGACATGTGTTGTGTACTAATTCGAGTGTAAACACCCCTGCGCTTATCTTTATCTGCAGATACTTAAATGCTTCTCCTATTGGAGCTTCAGGTGGCTTTGGTACTAAATGCGCTAAAACTAGCGTTTGAAATTTTAATTATTTCTGTAATAATTAATTAGCGGGCGGCTTGTCTCTAGACGCTAGACGACAGCTTGACTACGCCTACACCTACGTGACGAAGCTTTGGGTGACTTTGGTACTTAAATGCACTAAAAAATTATGGACAATTTGAAACGCTAAAAGAAGTTGTGGAAAACGATAGTTTTCTATGTACAAAAGGAGCGTAATTATTTCAAAGTTCGACCCCTAATTTTAGCGCATTTAAATACCAAAGCCACCCGAAGCTTCGTCACGCGTAGATGTGGAATGAGCATAATATTAAGACAAAAAACCTGCTTACTATTAATAAATCATCAGATCCTGGTGCTATATCTGAAGTCCCAGAACCAGTGAATGTTGATGTTCCAAACGTGAAAGATGACGCTAATGGTTTGTCATGTTTAGCGTCAGTCGTCATAAACATTTTTGTCTCCCAGTAAATCAGACGCGCCATCCAGGAATTCTAACAAAATACATTTTTTTTGTAATACTTATTGGGAGTAATCGCAATTATTTTTACGCTGTATCCTACTAATATTATATGGGAAAGTTTGTGTATTTGTGTGTTTGTAAGTTTGTTACTCAATTACGCAACAACTACAGAACTGATTTAGATGAAATTTTTTAAGCATATAGTTTATAACCTAAATTAAGACATAGGATATTTTATTTCCCTGAAAAATATTAGGTTCCTATTGGATTCTCAAAACACTATAAAGTTAACGCGGACAAAGTTGTGGGCGGCCCCTAGTAACACATGTTTTCATTATAACCTTAATATTTATAAAAGAAATTAATTCAAGAAAAAAATACACTAACATTAAAATAACTTTGGATTTAACATGAGCTTTAAGACTTCCCAAGAACAAGACTAACTTTATTACAATGCTTTAAATTTCCTCACGCTCAAACTTTACACTTCTCCTACAAGTTATTACAAAAGTTTAAAGTATCAGAACTAACAAATAGATATTCAAATTCCAAAAGATTATTCAAATATATCTGAACTCTGAACATACCTCGAAGCATAATTTTCTGGGACAAGCAAAGAGATAAAGGAAACATCCTGACCAATAGCAAAAGATGATTAACAATATGCAATACTTTATCAGAGTCAGCAGCTGGAAGTACAACACGTAATTAAATTTACTATAATATAATATTCAGTGTGATGACTGTAGGGTGTTCTCAATTGTTAAGTAATGTTAGAAAACTAAACGTCAATATACATTAGTTACCTAAAGGCTATGAAGTTCATACGAAAATTATACAAAATGTATAAAATAACCCGGGTAAGTGCGAGGCGGACTCACTGACCGAGGGTTCCGCACAAATAAATTTAGTGACTCATTTCTTTGTCGCACTATACGTAAATGGAATGCTCTGCACGCTCACGTGTTCCCTCCTTCTTATAACCTGGGATCCTTTAAAAGAGGCGTGAAGAAGCAACATGCAGGCCGGCAAGGTGAGGATGGCTGGTGTGGCAGGTAGAACTGTTGTACCAGCTATCTTCACCTCTGGACTTCACCGTCACTTAACATCAGTAGAGGTGGAGACATTTGTCGGACCTATCTTCAAAAAAAAAATTGTAGGTACACAACATAAACGGCCGTATCTTTTTACGTTATTTTAGAAGTTCGAATTTTATTCTGACGGAGCATACCTGAAAAGGCTGCGAAACGTCAATAAATAAATAAAGTTTCGTGTTACCCGTTAAAACTAGTTTTATTTAATGAGTGATATGCGTGAAAACCTAAGAAACAATAAAGGTCCAATTGTTTCAAACCATCAAAGGGCCGTAGATCAGATTATATGGTTTAAATTTCAAGGCGGTACCTCCATGCGTTCTTGATATAAAGGGTCATGACAGATGTCATGACAGATAGACAGACAACAAAGTGATCGTATAAGTAAAATATCTGTAATTCTTACGTATTTTCAATGACTCGCAGTAACAAGTAATTGGGTCAAGTTGGAGACAGTGTAACAAGGGGTATAGTGAAAAAAAGGAATATCTTTGTATTATACTCCGCCATTTAATAAATAAATAATAAATATTTCCAACACTCACACCAATTAGCCTAGCCCCGAAGTAAGCACTGAAAGGCTTGTGTGATGGGAGACTAGGGTAATGGATAGAATACATATACAGTACATATAAATATAAATATATTTATATAGAAATACATATTAATCATCCATAACTGGAGTGCAAATGCTCGTATTCATCCCACAAACATCTGCCCCCACCGGGATTCGAACCCGGGACCTCTCGAGTCAGCGACACCATAAAACCCAGCGTACAAATCACACGGCCACGGAGGTCGTCATTTGATGTTGATGAAAGCTGCTTAAGATATGAAACTAATAAAACACGTCAAGAGAAACCATACATAAGGAAAGGGCAGAGATATTCATTATGTTACACTGTGTCCCTTGTTACACTGTTTCCCAATAAACCCTATTCAAAATAGAAAGCTGTAATCAGGAAAAAATATAATATAACGGGAATGATTTTTTTCAAAGTTGGATACATTAAATAAAAGTAGTTTTTACGGGTTAATGCACGAAACTTTATTTATTTATTGACGTTTCGTAGCCTTTTCAGGCTACGTCGTCGGAATCAAACTTTTATATGATTTATTTTTAATAAAAGTTTGATTCTGACGACGTATCCTGTAAAGGCTACGAAACGTCAATAAATAAATAAAGTTTCGTGCATTAACCCGTAAAAACTAGTTTTATTTAATGAGTGATGTGCGTGAAAACCTTAGAAACAAATATTGGATACATTATTTTTATAGACTAACCTTAATGTTACAGTCGAAATTCTTCATCCATTTGTTGAAATAGTCCCAGATATGCCAAACTTGAAGAATGGGGAACAGTTTCACAATCTGAGCTGACATGGATTCCCCGTTCGGGTCCAAGGTGTCGGTGAAGATGTGAGCAGGAAACAACGAAAGGATATCCAAGTAGAAACCGAGCGTGGCCATTTTCACTTCCGCTATTTCCTTGACTGTAACCTTTTTGACGTTCTGAAATTCATTTTTATGATAAGCACATATCTGATTTAGTTGCTTTACAAAAACCCATTGTATATAGTCGATCGAAAATAAAATATTTTCAAGTATAAAGATGCATGAAAAGATCCATAAGGTAGAGATTTGTATAGAAATATTAAAAAACGTATTTTAAACCCGTTGTAATAGTGTTTAATTTAATGAGTCTTCTGCGTGAAAATATAGGAAAGCAGTAGGTGTGTAGTTTTTTTAAGCATGTCGCTTTGGAACTGCTACTTTCGGCAGATGAAATAGAAATAGAAAACTAGGCTAGATCATGCTAAGCTAAACTATTATGATTGCAAAATGGGGTTCACCTTATCAACGATGGCCGTAGTTAACTGGATGTAAATGTTCAGTAGCATCCCAGCCGTTACTACAGTAGTAAAAATTATTTCTATCTCCGATTGTTCATTTTGAATTGCATAGTGAGGAGACATTATACACAGGTAAATAACCGTAGCGAAATGGCCGATCTCAAACATGTGAGTCTGAAAGGATAAATGAATATATAACTTCATTGAATACACACAGAAATCCAAAGTATTAACCCATTTCTCCAAAATAATTATATAATTCTAAATTCTAGGCTCTGCCTGATTTTATTTTTTCCGATCTGTCTATTTCAGTAGGCTTTGGAATTAAAGCATCAAATTTAATGGGGAATATTTGCCGCATTATATAATCTTAGTAAGTATTAAATTAAGGACCTATTTCACAATCGATAAGTAAAGTTCCAAGTAAGCAACTACAACAAGCACATAAAAAAGCGTTCAGACAACACTATACTATTGTGCTATATAATATAGTATAGCGCATAAAGCAAGCCCATACCATATAGTATAGCATGCTGTGAACCTGTTCTATGTAAATGTATAGTGCGCAACATCGTGCTATTGGTAATAACCAATATGATTTAGACTACGTTACATTTAGCATTATTGAACTTAACTTAAATATACAAGTTAAATAATACTAAATGTAACGTAGTCTAAACACAACTTTATGCTCGAAGTAGCTTAGTTAGAACTTTACTTATCGATTGTGAAACATGCTCTAAATTTTATTGTTTTTAGATAGATACATACAAAAGTCGTATTTGGCTCCAAGATCCAAGGAAAACTCGCTCTCAAGCAGATGCGAGGTGCTTCGATGGTTGTGACGTTATTCGATAATTGATACAACTCCAAATATTCCGACGTGAACTTCGGTTGGCGAACATTATTCTCGTCTATAACAAATTATTCAAATACCTCTACAGATACTGTAAAATTTTAAACTCGACGTCGAGGCAATAAGTTCTCTATTACCTTTGTAATACATGTGAGAGTCGTCTACAAAGGTCGGATCCTCTTCCTCCACTTCTGCTAAATTGTCTTTGAGCACTTTCATAGGACGGTAACGAGTTCGAATTAGTCTCGAATCGCCTTTGTCGTATTGAGTTATTGCTTCCTATAATGAACAATGATGGGTAGGAAAATGTCGAAAAAATTTCGAGGAAAACTTCTCTAGTTATGGAAACATATTACGAGTAACATTATGTCGTATGTCGGGATGCCTTTATCCAGAGAAGTAACGAAAATACACTAATAAAACCTTTGTAAAAATATTAAAGAACAAAGTTTTATTCTTATCACATTTACTTTTTCTATTCTAAATTCAAAAGAAATAATTTATTGTAGTTAAGACTAGCGCATATATACAACTTTTAGCTAAACAAACTATTTTGTTGTGTACCGTATGTACATAGCAATATATTGAAGCGCATATAGTATCAACTCGATAGTTACTCAACAAAAAAGTCAAAAAACTATATCGATCTGCTTTTGATTAAAAAGTTGAACAACTATCGATCAAACGCTTAATTTGTATTGCATTGTATTGATGTGCACATACCATCGACTAAACACGTCTCTTGTCACCATGGAGGACTTTGCGGGAACTATTACGGACGGATTCGGATGAAATTTGGTACACATGTAGTTTATGACCTGGAATAAGACATAGGATACTTTTTATCCCGGAAAAATGTTAGGTTCCCGAGGGATAACCATAAAACTAAATTAAACGCGGACGAAGTTGCGGGCGGCTCCTAGTATGTTAATTAATAAAAAATAAATGTTGTTTATTTATTAAACTAAAATTTTATACTGTCGTGTTCCCTTGGTACAGAGCCTTAAGGAGAAACAAAATAAGACGTTAAGTACTGGCGGACATATACTCCACCTGTAAGATTTCTTATATGTATACCGTATCTTCTTTTTTTTCTCTTTTGAAATTTCTATAAAGTAAAGCACAAATTAGAATTTCTTGTTAATTGACATTGTCTGTAACACCTTGACTCGAGCGTTGCTAAATAAAGACTGGTAAAATTGAGGAGATTAAAAAAAATTGATGATCGACTGCATCAATTGTATGCGTACCTCCATCAACTAAACGGCCTAGTTGTGTGGAAATCACGAGCACTACAAAACGGGACAAAACAGTTTAGTCGATGCAAAAGTTGTATATATGCGCTAGCACCTTCATCGATGCACCCTTCTTCTATTGCGACGTTATGATCGCAGCAATGTGTAACTTCGTCGCCGTTCTAATACATATAACATACTAAAAACAATGTACAAATAAAAATTCTTAATCCTAAGGTTACGGTATCAAATTTTTCATTATAACTACGTTAGTAGTAATCATATTGCGAATACATGTATATTTATTTATTTATTTCTAAGTTACTCATTAAAAATCAAAATGTCTGACAGCATTTGAATATAACTCGATAACCTGGACTAACACCATAATTTCTCTTCCTCTAACAGATTCCCCGAGGGACACAATTCCGTAGGAATCGCGTGCAAAGGGTAGTTTGCATAAACTAATAACTAATCATACCCCTTAATCAAATTGTAGTTATTCCACAAGTTCAATAACTAACCTGCCTTTTTCTCGTCGAGTGTAACCTATTGTAGATTTTCTCTCGTATATGCTGTAGCATAACGGGATGTTCAGCTATAACACGCATGAAATCCGTACGTCGCAGTACCTAGATTCGTCATTATCATTAGTCTATTATATACATATATATATATATATATGTATATGGGAGCTCGATGGTGTAGGTGGTTAGCGCACTCGGCCTGCGATCGTGAAAGTTAGGCAACTTTCGCAATGGTCGGTCATTGAATGGGTGACCAAAAACTTATAATCTCGAGCTCCTCCATGCTTCGGAAGGTACGTTAAACTGTTTGTCTCGATTGCATTTGCATTCGTTAGCACCACACTGGGCCCGCGTGGTGGGTCATGGCAACTCCCTTATCCATACATAGGAAGGGTCTGTGCCACAGTAGTGGGGACATTAAAAGGCTATGATGAAGGATTGCAGAAACCTTCGGAGCCTAGTGCGTACATTCGATTTGAGCTCGAGATAATAATAAAATTTTTGGCCAACCATCCTCTGAACGGCCATTGAGTATGTTACTGAATGTCTACTTGAGTTAATTTCCTACAATTTGCAAAAACTGTTAACTTTATTTGTAGAAATTAGAAAGATATGTTTAGATATTAAAGTAAACAGCTTATTCGGAAAACAATATTTGGTAGATATTGTAATTTTTTTTTCGGAAATTTACTTGATCCCTAGACATTTTTGATAAGTATATACAATACGTATATTAAAACTGCTTTTTCTTTTTAAATCTTAATATTTTTTAATACAAGTTTGTGACCGAATTTTGTCTTTACTTTGAGTTTATGGTTTATCCCAAGAATACTATTAGCGACTCAACCCTGTGGGTAGTAATTGAAGTAATTGAAGAGGTGTGCATACCTAAAAATATTGCAAAATTTAAATTTCTTGAGAGTATAAACTGTTTTATTATTGAAGGCTCCGCGTGTTCTTCACCCTATTCTTTAAATGACCCGCGTATTTTTTGAGAGATTGGAGCGCCTGTCTAGGGAAGCAACCTCCACCTTATAGAATATAACACTACCTTTTGGTGGTGTTGTGTTTCTGTTTGTGAGTACGGTTCCAGGACTCCACGGGGTAGGGGATTGGATCAGGGTAGGCAACGGTGCAGGTGATATTTTTGGTATCGCAAGCGTCTATCTATAGGCTATGGTGACCATGGGTCTACCTTGTAACGCAGAACTTTTAATGTCATAATATTAAAATGCATATCAGCGGATAGCATCAACTGAATTTCGCAAAAAATCATTTGGTTTTCATTTAATTAGTAGACTTTCAAACGCATAATTTTGTAAGCCAAAATAATCTTTAGACAAATTTAATATGCACAATAATTAAAAAGCAGAACTATCATATCGCAGCGCAGAAAGTTCACAGTCAGAATCGTCTTTAGGCACACCTAAATTTAACGTTTCCTTGTTTCTTTATCTATTATCTATGGTGGTGGTCACAACACTAACCTAACCTAACCCACTGACTACAAATACCGATTATGCTTAGCGATTTTTTTTTTATGTTATAGCCGTCTGCATACGAGCAGACGGCTCACCTAATGGTAAGTGATCACCGTCGCCCTTGGACACTTGCAACACCAGGAGTATCACAAATGCGATGCCGGCCTTTAAGGAAGTTGTACGCTCTTTTTTTGAAGGTTTTTGGGTCGTATCGGTCCGGAAACACTGCTGGCGACAACATATTCCACAGTTTTGTCGTATGTGGTAAAAAATTTCGACAAAAACGCACGGTTGTGGATAGCCACGCATCAAGATGATGGGGATGAAATTTTTGTCGCGATGTACGATGGCGAAATGCAACAGCTGGAATTAATCCGAACAATTCCTCAGAACACTCCCCGTGATAAATGCGATAGAAGATGCAACGCGAAGCTACATCCCTACGTAAAGCCAAAGGATCAAGCTGATCGGAAAGGTCCTGGTCGTCGACGATTCGAGCCGCTCGGCGCTGGATGCGATCCAAAGGGAAAAGCTGGTACTGGGGTGCCCCCGCCCAAAGATGAGAGCAGTACTCCATGTGAGGCCGAACCTGTGCCTTATAAAGCTGCAGTCGGTGGGTCGGTGTGAAGTACATTCTCGATCTAATGAGCACACCAAGCTTCTTAGAGGCCAATTTGGCCTTGCCCTCTAAATGATCCCGAAACTGGATGTCGCTCGATATGTCAACGCCAAGAATTCCAATACTAGCTGAGGCAGTTAGAGGAGTGTTCTCAAAAAGAGGAGATACGACAAATGGTATTTTTTTTGCGGTGAACGCGCATACTTGTGTCTTCGTAGGGTTAAATTGGACTAAATTTGGACTAATATCGGCCCCAATTCGTTACTCGGTTTAACAAAGTTTCGACTTCAGACACAAGTTTGTTCCGAAAATTATGCAGAATAACATTTTGCCAAAGGTTACTGAATTTATGCCATCTTAAAAGTATGCCATTGTGCATACGGACATATAAACATTCGACAGCTTAATAAATAGTTATATTTATAAAAAATATGCCTTACAAATATTCGTTTCAAGAAGATTATGCCAAACGAATTTCGGAGCAACAAAATTATGACAGATAGAGGGAACCCGCTGGCCACTTAGCATCAGGTGGGCCATGCGCTTGTTTGCCACCCTTATGACATAAAAAAACTTAATGTAAGGTGTGAACAGAAAATTTGGATAATGGGCCATGATCCACCACGAGGGCGAAGGGCAGATTAATTGATGTTTTAACGACGCACCAATGTATTATATGTATACCGTATTAATGAGAGGTATTATTTAGTGGTATATATAGTTGTATATAAGTATTTCCATTTTTCCATCCATGGGGAAGGCTTGTGCCCCAGCAGTGGGGACATTAATAGGCTGATGATGATGATTATGTAGAAAGTTTCAATATACAATAGGAATGACGACTTACTTTTTTTCTTCATCTATCAGTGTAGATTATTAAAGAGTATTGGACACGTATTTTTTCTTTATTCACATAATCAAAACATGACGGAAATATATTAATTTGAATGTCACATGACGTCACGTCTTGGTACAATTTTTACTTAGAAGTGACGTTACGAGCCTCCATTCCCAAATCATGACGCCCTTTATCTTTATATTTATTTTTGTTGATTAACGAATAGAAAAATACTTGTCCATTATTTTGGGATAATCTAACTGAGAGACTTAATAGAATTTCGTTTACTTCACCCCTTCACCACACCTATTTTCAATATAAGTATTCCAGACGCTCTCAAAGCGCTAGACAAAAGTTATGATTATGACACCCCTGTTCACCTCGATAAAAGTTCATAAAACTTACTTGGAGTTCGATATAAGTAGCCGCTTTCACCGTAACTTTTGCCGGAATTGAATAAAACAAGGCTAACTCCCCCAACACCTAGTAAATGATAAACAAATTTTAAGTTTCAGTAAATACCCTATTAGTTGTTTTTTTGTGCAAAAGATTTCGATTTATAACAAAAAACCTTAAAATATATAATAACTAAAATACATTAATAAATGGAGTCCCTTTAGGCAAGGTTCCAAAGATACTGGCAGCGTTCCCCCTATGAATAGCTAGACTAATTCTTTGTCGGAAGTAGCTGCCAGCTCTTCAGTCTCCTGTAATGTCGACCAACCTTTTTTGCTATTTCCTTAAAAACCTTACAGCGCTAGGACCCCACGGACCAAGGGTCCCTATTAGTTGCATTAAATAACTTAAATGAATATCTGGCACACCAATCTTAAAGAATTTTTCTATGCAATGTATAATTTTTTTACTAACAGAAAGTATACCTAATCAAAAAGACAAGCAAGAAAAGCTATGTCAAAGAGTGGAAAATGGGCAGTTTGCTTACTATAATAAATATCTACATCTTATGTGTATTGTAGCACTTCTGGTAATAACATCATGTTTTTATAGTGCCGTGTTTCTGCGTTTTCTTGCTCTAACCTTTTTTGGAAACATTCAGTTTGAGTAGAGAGGACTTATTCAATTCGGACTTATTAAATTATACATTACGCTTTTAAAATTTCAAGGAACACCAACTTCATAATAGTTAAGTACCTGCATATATGCAGGGCCAGCGTTAATAAAAATAACTAAATATTTAATGGAAAACATTTCAGGCAACTAACCACTTATTTCGGCACTACAACCATCGAAATACGTATGAATGTGGAACATATTTTTCTACGTTGTCCGGAAATTGAGATCGAGAGCTGGGAAAAAGAGACGTAGGACTCTCCGCTTTATTTATACACTCGTTTACCAAGAATATGTTACATAGATTTAAAAAAAAGGAAGGTTCTAATAAGTTCTATAACACCGTATTTTATCGAAAAAAAGTATGCCTAAATAAGACAGAACTTTCATCATATCGTTTGTCATCTAAACTAATCAAGCATTGAATATCAGTTCTTAAATTAAGGTGATCATAATGTTAAAACCCTGGAGGAGCTCGTTCGTCGTACATGGAAGTTAAGCTACTTTCACAGTGGTCAATCATTGGATGGGTGACCAAAAACTTATTATCTCGAACTCCTCCGTACTTCGGAAGTCACGATTAGCCTTTTGTCCCAGTTGCTTCTGCAGTCTTAAGAACCTATCAAGCCGTACTAGGATAGGTAGGCTATTCAATATACACGTAGGTATATTTCAGAAGACTAATTTTAAAAATATAAACTAACGGTGCCTGTTTTGAAAGCTATCATGGGACTTTCATCATCTTCATCAGAAAGCATCTCGATGACGCCTCGTTTCACACAGATCATTCCGTTCTTCACCACACCTTGACTCCAAACGTGCTGACCCGCAAGGAAGATTTCATGGCGCATCAGTAATGATATCTGACGCAGGAAAGATTCGTCTGAAATTAAACTATCAATTAAACCCAAAGTAAGTAAGTGAGAGTAAAAATAACATTTTAACATAATTCTTGCTCCAGACCTAATATATACAAAAACGAAGTATACATTCAATTACTTAGTTGTGGCATTTTTATAATCACCAGCCTATTAAGGTCTCAACTGCGGGGCACAGGTTTTTTTGTAAGCATGAACTAGAAAGAATGGGTCGTACTCATAAACAACGACGTAGGCACAGTGCGCGTTTGAAGATGCTTAGTGCAAATGATTAGCGCGATCAGCGTGCGATCGTGGAAGTTACCCAAATTTTCGCAATGGTCGGTCTTTGGGTGGATGGTCATTGAATGGGTGCTTTGCGAGCCACGTTAAGTCGTTGTTCGTTAACTTTTTCTGCAATCGTTGGTACGCTCACTTTTCTACTACCTCACAATTCACACAGGGCCCGCGTGGTGAGTCACATCACGGCCTAAACTCCCTATTCCATTCATAGGGAAACCCTGTACTCCAGCAATCACCACTGCAAGGCAATAATAGGAAAGAAAATCTGGTCACTTATTCTAAATTCAACCATTCCGAAAATTGCTAAAATTCCATTAAAGAATGCCCTAACTCTACGTCATCAATTCCTTGTTTGTCGCAACATACAAATTACTATTGCAGTCAATTATGTTAATAATAATGATTACTTTACCGGCATTTTTAAACAGTAGGGTATTATGGAAATCTCCAACGTTAATATCGAATATCAGCTCCATCTGTAGAGGTAGTGGCAATTTCTTCAATTCGTTTGACGTCAGTACGCCGTCTTTCATCTCCCACAGCTGCAGTTTGTATTTGGCTGCTTGTTCGATGAGCCAGGCCGGTGCTTTGTGGAACTTGAGGTACCTTATCATGTGGTGATACTGTAAAAAGCAACACTGTGAACATCAGCCTATTGTTGTCTCCAATGCTGGGGTATATGGCTTACTGATGGACGGAATAACATAATACTGCAAACTGCAACATTATGAAAATCAGCCTATTGATGTCCCCGCTGCTGGACTATATCGCTTACTTAACGACATAGGATAAAACCATGCACTACTCAACGCCCCCAGTACCGAGAAGCCCCTAATAAATTTTCATAGGTCATCTGGTACTTTATTTATGCAGCACATAGAAAGAAAAAGTGCAAAGAGAGGTAGGGCGTATCGAAACTTTCGCACGAATTGGAGCGCCCATCTGGAAAAGTAACCTCCTTACAGAAGACCACAGTAAAATAACTACCTTTTGATAGTGTAGTTCTTCTGTCATTAAGTAGTTCCCGGACTCCACGTAATAGGGGATTGGGTCAGGGTAAGCAACGGAGCGAGTGATATTTTTGATATCGCAAGCGTCTATAGGCTATGGTAGCTGCCATAGCATATAGACGCTTGCCATTGCTATAGGCATATGGCCCGATAAGCAGCCGCTTACTGGGCCGTATGCCTATTTGCCACCCTATTAACATCTAACAAATTTTCGGTCAATAAAAAACAAAACTCACTCTATCAACAAAAGTCGATCTGCGCCTGTTCTTTAATGCCAGTTCCCATGCTAAGTAACCGATAAACACGTATCGCGTGAAAATGTACCCAATAAACATTATGAACGCTGTCAACAATTTCTCTGCGCTTCGCTGAAAATAAAAATACAATTGTCAATATCAGTAGAACTGCCGAAGCTGATAATATCAGAACAATTGAAAACATGTTCGAGCTAACAGTGTTAATGAGTGTAATATAAAGAAATAGGAGAAGGATAATAATATAAGGAAACGTATTTTTGTAACGCAAAACGAGCCAATCTGTTTCCTTTTCCGAGTACTCGCAGGAATTCGTTTTTAGGTTTCTTTACCCATATAGACGGATGTAGACGTGGTATCATTATTTATAACAAACTAGAGGATACCCGCGACTTCACTTTGTTTGTGTAGTTTAATTGGTTTTCAATACAAACTTCCACCCACTCTTTTCACTAACTTGAAGGATGATTTCTGGATTAAAAATTATCTTTAGTCCTTTCCAAACTCAAACTAGGCTTTCCGGTATACCACGGGCGTGCTCAATGTTCTAAAGTAAGAAGAAAGCTAATCGTGTTATAACAAAGATATAACACGCAAATGTACTTTTATGAATAGAGTAGCGGACGTAAGTTTTTATTACCATGGGAAAGAGATCTCCGAATATTACATTGAAGATGCGGCATGCTGAGTAATAGAAACATGATAGGTATCTGGAAATAATAAATTTGTATTTCAAAATAATTTTTAAATAGAAGCTTTTTATAAGTCCTTTCATTTGATACCCATATTGTAAGCAAACACCAAATACTTCCGCCATGTTGGATGTAGAGTGACGCCACTTTATTTTGAGAGTACAGTTTCCCTAGCACCAACCAATAACGAATTCGAATATTTTGCTTCTATTGTCAAATTTTGTATGGAAATTTAAACAGCAGCGCTATAATGGGCGTAACGAGAACTCAAAATCAGAACATAATTGACAATGACATTTCGCACTAGTAAACTATTCGAATTACATATTGTTTCGTGCTAGGGGTACAGTTCAAGAAATTTCATCCGAACAAGCATAGTTACATTGCAAGTTCATCTATCAACATCATCAGCCTATTAATGTCCCCACTACAGGGGCACAGACCTTTCCTATGGATGGAATAGGGAGATTGGGCCATAATTGGCAAGTTAATTATAAGCTTTTAATAACAAAAACGATTAACCTATTGCTTTCCTTATAAACACAACATTATATTGGAACTGTCATACCACGTTGAACAAAATCCTAAAAAAAAACAGTTTCACGGTTGTGCCTTGACTGAAAAGATTAAGTGGGAAGAATAGCGACGTTTCAGTCGTGAAAACCTGGGTTATATTACTCAACCAAGTGTTTAGTAATGTGGTTAAAAAAATAATTTAGTTCAATGACAAGTTTTCCTGTTACTACTTTTTGTATTCAGGTTTTACCTTATGAACAAACATTTATTATAATTATAATTCGTTTATTATATTTTCCGAAGTACGCTATCTGATGCGACTTACGTATCGAATGTTATGTTTCGTGAATTCACGTGCGGTGGATAGCCAATGTTGTACCACGGCTGTAACAAGGCCTTGTCTTTGTGCAGACCATACCAGAGGCACGTGCTGGCATGCATAAACAGAACTGTGCACAGCATGTGCTCCGCAATATATATCTGCATCCGAAAATGGCGGACCTGCAATGATCGACATAGTAAAATCAGTTGTATTCTCTTTACAAAATGGGAGTGGAAATAAAATTGTATTTATTTATAGCCCTTTGTTGTTAACAGCATAACCAATTGTTATGTACGTATATGACTGTAAACACGTGTTATAGCAAATTTTTCAAGAATCATATTTTAGATCACATTCATTACGAAAGGCCTAACGATTTTACTAAAGTATATAAAAAACGGAACTTACATTCTCATTGATTTGCTTGAAAAAACTAAACAATCTATATATTCGGCAAATGACGAACCATCTCCCAACTAAAACCATTTGCGTGTATCCTTTTAGTTTAACTGCAAATACATGATTTATCACTATTATGTTATTTTTATGTTTTATTAGTTTATGTTTATTTTATTTTAATGCTAGAGATACAACCCTGTCTTCAGAATTGTAAATGCAATTTCCTTTTTAATTAATTCTTATAAATACTCCCAAGTACTAGGGATTTTAATAAAAACGTAAGTCTTCCACATACGTTTATAAAAAAAAACAGTTCACAGCCTCGCCACAAGTGCTCGTAAATTCAAATGGGTCCTTATTTACCCGACTTTACAAAATATAAAATCTAAATTTTTGAAACAGTTTTCTTAATCAAACAGGTTTTGTTCCTTTAACTCATACTTTATTTTATTTTACTTTGGTGCATTTCTGACTGCCTTTATACTTTCATGTTCCAGTTGTAAGTCACCAAAAGAAAATAAAACATTTTTTTCTTTATCCGCTTAGGTCTCGCAACGAGATTATGAGATTAAATATGCCATATTTCTTTACCGAAGTCAGAACTGGAGAGCAAATTTCAGTAGCGATTTATTTTCATTTCGAGTTCCCTAATGAAAAAATAAGAAGCAATATGAAAATTAACACTGTTGTGTTATCAATACTAATATATGTTAAGCAATGATTTAATTTAAGTGAAAAAAAGAATTCTACTTCGGTAAAATAATACAACATCTAAATAAGTCGATAGTTAACTAACAAAAAGTTACCGATTTTTTTCATGGTTACTAATAACGTTACCCACATATCTAATACCTACGATTTGTTTTTATAAGTTTCTCGTATCATCTCATATGTGAACATAAATCTTACAATCTAAAGCAAGCAATTTATCCACCTAACTATGTACTCACATATCAACGTCAAAGGTATAATGCTTATAACATCATACAGTAAGAAAAACGAATTTCTTCGGTACACCCTTAGGTTCAAGCGGACCAGAGGCCAGAAGAAATGCAGAAGATGCACCAGAACATCGCACACAAAGAACAGTTCAGTTACCATCACGCTGATTTCTAAGCCAAGCTGTTTCCCTGAGAGGTAATACCCCAGGAGGAGTTGAACGACGAAGTTGTATATAACCGAGAGGAGGACGATGGACTGAAATTAGAGAGAAAGAAAAATATCTTATAAACCATTAACACATACTTGTATTACAAAAAGAAACACATTTAAAGTTATTTAAAAACAAAATTATAAAGAACTTAAAACTAAAATGCTGTAAAATGGTTAATCAGGACTGCCTCATCATGAAGCGTGTAATGAATTTAAAACGTGTAACGAAAAAATTTGCTGGAAAGAGTTTTCTTGTAGAAGAGACTGTCACATCCTATCACTCTTTTATTCTATCCTTTTTCATCCCCACACACATCTCTATCTTATTTCACTTTTCATTCTTTCAATCCTGTCCATGATCTTCAGTCTTCTCATAACCTATCCTTAGTTATCCCACCCCACTCCACTGATTTCGTAGCCAAGTCATTCTATGTAAGAGCTGTTAAATTGTGGAACTCTCTACCTCTGGATATTAAACGTACACAGACGAGGGACTCCTTTACTATTAAAATTAAGGAATATTTCCTCAAGCTAGACCCTGCCTCATCTTTTTCTGCTTATCTGTTAATTACTTTGTATTGTATTTTATAGCTTCCTTATATACTTACTATTTTTATATTCATATATTTACGTTTATTTATTTATTTTTAAATTGCACTAGCCAGTTGTTTTTTCTATTCTCATGGTATGGTTTCATTTAGCCAAAGGTTGCCTGCTAGAGATTGCTACCTTAGCAATAAGGCCGCCTTTTGTATTTGTGTTCCTGAGTTTTATGTTTTATGTATTTTGTATAATAGTGCAATAAATAATATTCATTCATTCATTTAACTCGGTCTAGGTATCACTTGAGATTCATCGAGCTTTCGGGCTAGGTGAAATAAGTAAGGAGGAGTCCATAGATATCCTCGTCGCGCGCTCCCGGTGGCGAAGAAAGGCGCCAAGCCTTTTCCAGAAAAAAAAAAGATATCGGGTGGGATTCGAACCAGCTAGTGTTTTTCAGTAACCGGGCAATTGGAATGCACTGACCGCTAAGCTCCCGAAACCTTTAATGAACGTGTCCAGTATTTACTAATATTTAATTTTAGTCTTCTACTTCTTACTTCTTCAACCAAAGATATGTTTTTTTCTAGTTTATTTTAATGAAAATTAACGACATTAATTGTAATTGTTGACTTATAGTCACTTATTTAAGTGTCAGTTAGTGAATATCAACCACAGTATAGGCATATTATATCATAAGCATGTTTATAACGGAAAAGTTATGTTTAAAATTATTTAATTTATCTACCTATTACAATTTCTTTCTTTACCAAAGAATTTGCGATAAAAAGAATAAATTATTTGCAAAACAAAATAGTTTTTCTAAAGAGGTACAAAATTATGACGTCATAGATTGAGCTCGAGCAATGAGCTGGATTCTCCCTTTGTACCAAATTAATAGTATTGGAAATGTTATTTTCAATACGATACCTGGAAGCACATATTCCAAGGCGTCAACATAATTGGAAGGGTGATCTTCTTCATGCGACTTTCCCAGAAAAACCGACCTCGTAAATTCTGCGGTGTGCGCATTGTCTTATGGGTCATATGGGTCATAACGCTCATATTCGTGGTGAGGGTTCTAAAATGATACAACACGAAAATTATCCTACTACATCCTATCTTAATTAATATTGCAAATGCGAAAATGAATTTGTTTGTTACTTACTCAATCATGCAAAAGCGGCTAAACGGATTTGGTTGAAATTTGGCACACATAGGTATAGTTTATGACCTGAATTTATACATAAGATATAATTAATAATTATTTATAAAATATAATTTTTTTTAGTTCCTGAGGGATTCTTAAAAACCTTAAGCTAAGGAGTACGAAATCACGGGCGGCCGCTAGTACCTAATATTATAAATATACTAGCTGTCCCAGCGAACTTCGTCCCGCCATAAAAAAATAGGGGTTGGTGGTAGAAGGGTGAAAATTTAGGGTTGTATGTATTTTGTATGATGTATCAAAAAAAATCAAAAAATATTATCCATAAAAAATTTAAGGGTTAACATTTAGAGGGATGAAAAATAGATGTTGTCCGATTCTCAGACCTACTGAATATGCATATAAAATTTCACGAGAATCGGTCGAGCCGTTTCGGTGTAGTTTAATTACGCACACCGTGACACGAGAATTTTATATATCACGCAAAACACTTCTGAATTGATTTGGATGAAATTTGGTACGCATATAGTTTATGACATGGATTGAGATTTAGGGCACTTTTTATCCTGGAAAAATGTTAGGTTCCTATGGATTTCTCAAAAACCAAGGTAACGCGGACGAAGTCGAGGGCGGCCGCTAGTAATGCATTTATGTCCACAGTTATTTACTATTAAAGATAGATAATAAGACTAAGCTACGAAATTCGATATAAAAAAAACGCTCAGTATTTATTATGAAAGCATTCTTACGCATTGTCGAAGGTCTTGATAGAGGCTTCGCTTATACTTCGTGGCAACATCGTCTTTGATTATATTTTCTTAGATTTTTTAGATATACTTATTTGAATATTCAACAAAATTATATCGAATTGAAGTCACTGCCAACTAGATTTTTAGGTGTGTATTTCATAACTTTGACGGACCTGTCTCTACCGAGTAATTAGCACCCTAAATCTCATGCACTTCTTTGTCTGTAATATCCCTGGTTTATCTACCAGCTTAATGAATTTAGGAAAATAAGGTTTGATGTTATACATGTTGTATTTATTTCTGGTTTCCTTAACAAAAGCTGGTGTATATGTATTTGTTATATCTAATGATCAAAACAATATAAAGATATAGTTATAATTTTCATTTTTTAAGCATGTAACTGCTTGATGTTTAAATATAATGAAAATATAACTAGGAAAAATTCCACGCGGACCAGGCAGCAGACGGGACTCGAACCCGAATCGAAATTGTGGGTTACCTACAATGCGAAGAGATGGCGCTGCCTTGCAGCTTAAGAATAGCTAGAAGAATTTTGACGTGGTCATCAGGGCCGCGGTAGCATAATTAGTCAGTGCATTCGCCCGGATAGCGAAGGGTGCGGGTTCGAGTCCCGTCTGCTGCCTGGTCCGCGTGGATTTTTTTCTAGTTATATTTTCTTTATCTATCTATCTATACTTATAATAAATCTGTAGAGATGTCAATTCTGTACATGAAATATATTTTTAAAATAACTATCAGGGGGTGATTAGTGATCGATACTGATGCCAAAAATGCAATCAGTAAAATTTTTGTCTGTCTGTCTGTCTGTCTGTGGGTATGTTCCTTATAGAAACAAAAACTACTCGACAGATTTTAACGAAACTTGGTACAATTATTCCTCATACTCCTGGGCAGGTTATAGTATACTTTTCATCACGCTACTATCAATAGGAGCAGAGTAGTGAAGGGAAACGTTGGGAAAACGGGAGAAGTTACTCCATTTTTTATGCTTCCGTCGCGTGTGCAGCCTTAATGGTTAAAGTTACATAGAAATCATGTATGACGGAAATATTCTACATAAAATTGTCTAGAAAATATCCCGCAACAGCATACGTCTATCTTTTATGGTTGACTCACAATAACACGTGTAACTCCCGATAGCTTAGCAGTTCGGAGCATTCTGATCATATTTGTTTACTCTTATGTTTATAATACTCTGACTCATCCCTAATTTAACATAATTACATATTCAATAAAAAAAAACTTAGAAATCGGTATAGAAACACCAAACTTATACATGAAATAAGCCATCGCGCCGTCGCACGTGAATACTGAATCATGCTATAAGGATCATTTTTGTGTAACGGTAGGGTATCAAAAGGCGGGTGGTCCGAGAGCGAGCTGTCTAAATATGTTTTCTGCGTCGCTCCCCGCCCTGGGGGACGATCGCTTCCGATGAAGCCTTAGAGGCCTTCCCGGCCAGAGGCAGCCCCTACGAGTGTTTTTTAGTCAGTACGAGTCTGACATAACCTTGCAGCCGGCTGTAGGGTATTCATGAGGATTTCACAACTGCTCCCCTGCCTAGGAGGAAACAAAAAAAAATAAAAAAAAGAGAGCGAGCGAGCTTCAATATTTGGCTGTTGATGCGTTCAGAGCGCTCGACCTTATTGACAGACAATAATTGATATTGTGAAACCGTGCTTATCAGCGCGACGCGCGGCAACGCGAAAGACTAAATCTTTAAATAGTTTTTTTGAATTTCTTTTGTTGTTATTTTGTAAAATAGGTATTAGTTGTTTTGGTAGTGTTTAAATATTCGTTCAAATTAAAAATTATTAAATTACTTTTATTAATTAAAGTAGTTATAAGTATTTATTTTTAAGTGAAGTAGGTATAGGTAGATAGTATTGCACAGGCGTTTCAGCTTTATTTTCATTTCTTTTTTGTTGTGAGTAGTATATATTTCTGGTTATAATTCTATATGAATATTTTAGTTTAAATAGTCACTTAGATTTTAAGTGTAAGGTAGCTAAAGTTAGGACCACGTATTAGTTGTTTTGGTAGTGTTTAAATATTCGTTCAAAGTGTAATTTAATCATATGGGATGAATGCACGATGGCCCATCGAAAAGGAGTAGAAGCGGTAGACAGAACTTTAAGGGATATAAGACGAAATGATCGACCAATGGGCGGTATCACAGTTTTATTTTGTGGTGATTTCCGACAAACCTTACCGGTAATACCACGGGGAACCCGAGCTGATGAGGTTAGGGCTTGCCTGAAAAGCTCTTATTTGTGGCGTGATATACAATCGGTGCATTTGACTATAAACATGCGAGTGAGAACTGTAGATAACCCGGATGATCGTGAATTTTCTAATATATTATTAAAGATAATACCTTCACCAAAGATACCTATCCACTGCTACACCAAGGAAAACTTATTCTGACGCCTGAGTTATGTTGTATAGTGCAATCCCAACAACATTTTATATCGTCAGTTTACGGTGACGCAATAAATATATTAAATAAGGACAATTCTTGGCTATGCGAAAGGTCCATTTTAACTCCTCGCAATGACCAGGCATCTGAGATTAATAATAAAATACTGTCGAATATACAGGGGGAAAGCAAAATTTATAGTTCAATAAATAGAATGGCCGATGAACAAGAAGCCACTAATTACCCGATAGAATTTTTAAATTCTTTAAATATGCCCGGGCTTCCTTCTCATGAAATTTGTTTAAAAATTGCAATTCCGATTATTCTGCTCCGAAATTTAAGACCACCACAACTTTGCAATGGAACTCGGCTTAAAGTAACCCAGTTGCAACCAAATGTAATCGAGGCTCAAATTTCAATAGGTTGCGGTGCAGGAGAAACCATCTTTATTCCCAGAATTCCCATGATACCAAATAATTTTCCATACCAATTTAAAAGAACGCAATTCCCAGTATCGGTGTGTTATGCAATGACAATAAATAAGGCTCAAGGGCAGACTTTTCGTGTTGCTATAGTAGATCTCGGTGTCAGTTGTTTTTCACATGGTCAGTTATATGTCGCTCTTTCCCGGGTTAGCAGTTCTAGAAATCTTTATGTTCACGCGCCGGACGGTTCAACTTTCAACGTAGTTTACCCGGAAGCTTTGCGCTGAAGTATTTTCATTCTATATGTACTTAAGCCTCATGTGAAAGTGATCTAAACAATATTACCAATACATTAACATAATAACATACAAGGAGTTACACACTGATGATCCCCGAGATCATCACTGTGTAACTATGCACAGTGATAATAATAATATTCTGCGGTTCCTTATTGCAATATTTTTAACAGTATTGTGGATTGACATATTATATTTCTCTACTAAAATACGAAAGTTAATCTGTCTGTCACATCAAAACCACGGAACCCTGAGGAAGGACATATGCAATTTTTTTACGAAAAACGACGAAAACGCGGACGAAGTTGCAGGCTAAAGCTAGTATTTAAATATAGGGTTGTTCAACAAGAACTTTGTTTTTCAATTGTGGCTACACCAACAATATGATAGTTTTCACATTTAGTTTTTTGACGTATTCGTAGTAGATGCATTGGCAATTGTTACAATGAATTCAATTTCGCTTGAAAATCGCATTAAAATAATTAAAATCCACTATGAAAATAGTGGTTCTGATACAGTTATATTTTGTCAAATTCGTGATATTTTCGGACAACATAATCGTCCTTCTGAGACCGCTATTAAGAACTTGGTCGTTAAATTTGAGTCGACAGGCTCGATACAAAATGTGCCAACACCAACGCGTGTTCGACCGGGTCTTTCAACTGAAAGCATCGCAGCCGTGAGCCACAGTGTTGAGGCAGATCCAAATTTGTCAATTCCGCGACGTTCTCAACAATTGGGGTTATCCAGAACCACCAAATGGCGAATTTTGGCCTATTATTGATGACGTGGATATCACTGATATGTGGTTTCAAAAGGACGGTGCCACATGTCACACAGCGAATGAAACGATCAATTTATTGCAAACCAAATTTCCCGATCGCATAATTTCACTAAACTCAGCTGTTAAGTGGCCAGCCAGATCATGTGATTTAACACCACTAGATTATTTTTTGTGGTGTTATGTTAAGGACAGAGTGTATACGGGGCCAATCGAACCGAT